TTGGACATGTTGGGGGGGTACCCCTTGGTCTCAGTTCTTGCTGGGTATACACTTACAACACCACGCTAAAGGTCTAAAAGGTTGGCACATATTCAAATGTATATCACGGCATGTGCCTGCGTATGTAGACTACTCAGTGCATGCGCTCTTAGGTCGTCGTTGCGAAGTATATAAGTACCCTTTCCAGTTAACCAATCACTGAGTTCACACTGTGGCAATGAGAAGATCGTGGAGACTAGATAGAATCAACGTGCGACATTCGTCTCTCGTTCGTTTCTGTTGTTGGCAGCTGTTGTTTTTCATTTCTAACCACGAGCAAGAAAAATGGCACCTGGTGTCATGTCAGTTGACGTCAGATCTGATAGAGTCATCGTTGAATTGGCATTGGTCGATCAAGGCCATAATTTTTTTTTCTGGCTATCACTTCGGCCCGTCGTCCGTCAGCAGTTGTTGGAAGTAACATTCACACAGAAACCTGACCTGTTTACTTCTATGAGAGGGCACCAGCAGGTAGAGGTTCATTGTTTCTGAGAGCAATTATAAGAAAGTGACTAATATTGATGACAACAGTGGCAAAATATGCTTCATTTACACGCATATCACACGCTTGCATTACATTTTCCTTGTAATGAGAAATATTAGGGCCTGTGTAGATTTCTAATTTACAAAAGCAATGTAGATTCTTTGGTAACAAAAAACTGCAAACTGAAATCTTTTTACTTTGCATGCTAAAATACATAGTAAGATTATTTTACGGTCAACTCTTTTTCAATGTTACTTCATCAAAGGATGTACCAGATAAGCTTGGAATGATTACGAAAATGACCGAGGAAGAACAAGCCGAGCTCAAAATCATTGAAAGGAAGTACAAGGTAAGTATACTTTTTGGTTCTTAATTCTCATGAAAATTGTTTTGGTACAGCGAGTGATTATGATTATGCACAACAAATAGTGATGAACAGTGGCATACTTATAGTCATCACGCTGGACTACTTCCCCTGCACACCCGAGGTGTCGGGACGAGTATAGATAGACATGCGCAGTATTGGGCAATAAACGAACGGTCTTGGGTTAGTGAAGGTCATTCAGCGATTAAATTTAGCAATTCAAGCAGTCAAAAGCACCGGAATCCACGGACACATCTGACCTTTATGTCACTTAACTTACCAGACTTGAGCCAGAATGCCTCTACATGGAACGATTTTTCTGGATTAATTAATTACAATGGCATCATCTCTCTCTGCAGTTCAACAAAAGGCGCCTTTCCATATGCGCGTCAATACTTGCGCCAAGCGTTGCAAATCCGCCCTAAGTCGCCATGTTTTCACATGGAACTGTGGGTAACCAGTTCATAAGTGACTTCGTCACAAAGGCGGACGCCCGACGATTTGCAGGCTCTCATTGGACAATCGTTGAAGTTGCGCGTTAACTTCCGGTTCCGTTTAAACGGCGATCAATGCATGTAAACCGGGCGTGGTTTAAACTGAAGTGACGTCACACTTACAAACCGGATAGGAAGTAAGCATGATCTGTCTCGTTAGTGTCAAATTGAACGCAGTCGCGCTTACAGGAGTGAGCGTGTGGGGAGGTATTCGAACGCGCTGAACAGTGTAATGAAGTTACCATGCATGCGTGCTAGCATTTACCAATCAGGGAGGCGAATTGCCTGGCCAGTTGCTTGCTTATTGTATTTGGTTTCAGAGCAGGTAAATGCAGACTTCGGGCTTAGTTTTGAAATCACGTAAAAGAGACCCAGAAAACATCGCTGATTACCCTCCGACGATACCTTATTATATGGAAACGCTCGACGTAGACATTTGGGAAGGTTTGAAGAACTTTGCAGGCTGTCTTGTAACGTCAACATGCTTGGCCACAACCAAGACTAACTCTTTGCAGTCATTTTGACATCAGTTTTGCAAAAATCAAACGTACCATGCTCGCGCATCGCGCATTTTCCCAAGACTGTTCCGCCAAAAGTCTATACTTTTTTTCGCTGCGGTGCTCAATGCACGCCTACTGGCACACATGTAGCCATGAACTTCCGGCTGAGTTCAAACTTCACATTTGCAATGGTAAGGAGAGTTTGTACATTCCTGCCAAGTTTTTAAAAAAATCCGGCTTGGCACAGCCGGGTTCTTGGGGGGAGCGGAATCCTCCCCGGCTTTGAGATGGGCCAAAATAACGCGGCTCTTTTAGGGTTAAGGTTGCAAGTCACATTTATGTTTAAAGTCGTGTTTTCGAATTATTACACAGTTTTACGACGGCAGTTTGCTGTTTTCAAAATGTTTAAATTACATGCTATATCCAATTCCTTCCTATCTGTCGTCACGATAGGTTTGATGCAGACAGTACTGAAAGCTTGTTTGATTGTGTTTCAAGGTGCACATAGAACTGTTGAAACAACAAGCAAAGTGCATCCGTGTGAAGGGACTTAAAATCAACGTGAAAGACGCAAGATATGACATCCAAGAGTTGTTCACGAGAATGCAGGTGCAGGAAACTGAGAAGCAACGGAGCAAACACCTGACGAAAGAAGTGAGTTTTAAGCGATTAACATTTTGTCGCCACGCTAATTCCTTTTATGGAAAGTCGTGAAGCGCATGCGACCCATCATTCTAATAACAGGCTGATAAGTAATGTTAATGTTTATAACATCTCTGCACCCAGTCTTCATGTCTGTTTTCAAAGTAATCGAATTGAGTTTGAAGAGAATGATTACAGAAAGCTACCTCAGAAAGAAAGCTCAGAAGGCTGTGGAAGTTGCGTTGTATGTATGTCGGTATCAGCCTGTAATTCAAGGGCGTGCGTTGTTTTGGAATGGAGGGTTACCCGTAATTGTGTCGCTATAATCAAAACTGCTTTCAACAACTTTTTCCTCTCCATGTGCTAATATTATTATAATAAAGTCCGAGCTGCAGGACAACAATCAAAGGTTTAATTTCTTTCGTGCACTTTGTACACATAGGTGCAGTGGAAGTATTACACTCCGACTGGTGTGGAAGACTATGACGCCGATATTAACACCATTATAGAGGATGCCTACCAAAAGAAACAGGCGTTAGTTACCATCGATCTGGTAGATGGACAGATTACCATTGACTTCAGTAAGATGCAAGAATTGTCCAAGGACGGTGCACTGACTGTATCACGTGTTGACCTGCTGCAAGGTGAAAAGTGACGAACTTTAAAGCGTGTATATGCAGAGGTTCTTTGCATTTTCACCTACACATTACTGTATGTCAAAGGATATTTGTTGAATATACACGGGTTTCCCTGGTGGAATGACTCCCAAATAAACTTGACTATCAACTTTGAAAATGTCCTGTATCGTATATAATCTTAGCTAATCTGTGGGTTATTTGTATTTCAGCTGCCAAATTTGAAACACCAAGCACTTGGATACCCATGAAAAAGAAGGAGCACTTCCGGTTGGTACCACTGGCAATAGGGACCAAGGAGTACACCGATGTGGAAACAGGTTTCCAGTTGTCCATGGGAAGGCAAGCCGTCCAAATCACTCAGGCGAGTTTATTGAGTTCTTATTGTATGAGAACTTCAAAATGTCAGGGCTGTTGCTCGATTTATGTAAATGCAAATTGGTAGCCCAGAATTGGAAGCCCTAAACAACTCATCCCATGTACACGTCTAATAGAGGGATTTCACATTAGCGCCGTCTGCGCATATCCGTATCGAAACCGAGGCTCTCTGTGTTGAACTTCATTGCGCGCGCCCGCGGAGTCGACACAGTACATGCAATATCCTGTTCGTAAGTGTGACGTCACTTCAGTTTAAACCACACCCACTGCACAAGATACATGACCATCGCAGGTAGGGTTAGTTCGCGGTAAATTGTTGTTATTTTTTCTCTTCATTTTTACATGTTGAGTCATCCTGAAAGACTCTTCCACAAAAATTTGCAGCCTGAAAAGTCTGAATTTAACATTATTTTATGTATTTGTGTCTTGACTCCTTACTTTCAATCGTCTGATCGTATTAAGAATTGACACTGACACATACAGCCTCGTTTTCAAACGCGGAAGTGCGCAGATCGACGCTAAAAGCGTCGTATTGGGATCCCTCTATTCCCATTTTACATGCAGCTATAACTTGCACAATAGACCAATTGCAGAAATTTGCGCCTGCTAAGCTCACCCATACGTCGGTACCAAGCTTCACCAAACACGGTATCCTCCTACATATAAGTGTTTACCAAATTAAAGCCGATTTGCGGCTTCTCAGCACGCCACTAATCTGAGCACAATACCTGCCGTCCGCTTTATTTTGACGAATGACACTTACAATACACTTTGCTATGGCAGGACGGTATGTGCACGTGTTATTCTGTATGGTCTTCGCTTGCACACCGAATGCGTGTAATGAACCCGCCCGGTTGGAAAACTTTCGTACCAGTCTGTCTTTCCTTCACCGATGAGGGTGAACTTCAACTCAGGGTGGATAGACTTGACTTAGTGGGCACAGCCTATTAGTTTGCCAACAAACATAAATGGACTTCCGATTCGATTGCAGCCGGAATTTAGATGGACTTATTGTGGATTCGACTGAGTCACTGACTGTTCATTTCAGAGATTAAGTACTCGGTTACCCCGTCATCTCAGGCTGGTGTTCAACAAGGATATCCACACTAAAGTTGTTCTCAAACTGTGATGTCTTTGCAGAATTACGGTGATACCATTTGGTTTTAAATGCAAATTTTGTTCGTGCAACACCTGCAACTCATTCCTCTAATTCCTCTAATTACCAATATATAGTTTCAATAGTTGAACTTTGTTGCACTTGCAGCTTCCACATGTATACTCGACATGTATACTCGACAATAGCCACTCGGAACATATGTATATCAGGCAAGATATGGGACGGAGGGGTACCCCCCTTACCTGTCCAATCCCTATACGTACTCTAGACTATTGTTACCTAACACACACCCCTAAAGAATTCCTGGGATTCCGATCAAACAATGACCAACACGAAGTGGGGGGGGTTCTCTCCGTCCCATATCTTGCTTTAAATGAACACGTGACTGTTAATTAATATAGTTATTTTGAGGCTCTCTAATTGGCAGGGGTTGCGGTGCGCAAATGGAAATTTGATGATTTTACTTAAAAATCGTGACCCAATCGACCATTGTTCTAGGGACATTTATACTTGTGAATTCTTGCCTTTTTGTAATGTAAACCCACGTTTCGAGGGAAATAGTGTTTTCTGAAAACTGTCTGGGGCTTTCAAATAACCGTAGAGACAGATCCGGCGATAACACGTTTGTAAATTTCCTCCACAAAGTTTGAAACTTGGAAAAACATTGAGCATACATGCGCGAATGTGATCATAAATATGCAGCACGCTCATGTTGCAGCTCAGCGCCTTATTTAAAGCCTGCTCAAAACGAGAAGTTACGTTAATCCCCAGTTACTGGCTGCTGAGGTATTGTTCTTGGGCTTGTGCTTTGGTAAAAGTTATGAATTTTTCCACAATCAGATAAAGGTCGCCTGAAATGTCTTTTTTTCCTGCGTTTTAGATTTTGAGAATCCAGAACAGAGAACTCTTGATGCAGTACCAGGCCCGTAGGACGGCGCTGGAGGCTCGTCTTGGCCGCACTAACATTGAAGAGACACTGTACCATGGTACCGATGAGCAAACATGTGATAAAATCAACAAGTTCGGATTCAACCGCAGCTTCTGTGGTAAAAACGGTAAGAATGTGAGCTTTATTGAGTAAATGGTGTACCAGCTTTAGCCCATGAGTTTGTAGTTTAGCGGGGTGGGGATTCGCTTTTTTTTTCTTCGCCAATCCCACGAAACTTGCGGTATTCAAATCAACACCCTTGGAGTCGGTATCGGGCAAATCAGACTAGTTGTGTTATGCTGGTGTAGTTTTGGAAGTGGAGCTAGCTTATTGTGATTGCTTTTAGTTATTTACTCACATGAACCGAATTGACCATGGCCTTTGTCGAAATAGTTTTGTAATTTCTCGCGTATTCTATTTTAGGTGTTCCCCTTTCAAAAGTTCTTACTTTTTATTCACGCTGTTTTCTTTTTGGTTTTCAACCCCCCTCCAAAAAGCCAACTCAAGTCTTTTTCTTATACTGTGTACCTCCCTCAATGATCTATAATGTAAAAAAAATTACTTTCCAGACAAGAGTCTTGAATTTAAAACTGTCCTTGGTTTATTTGGTATTATGTCTGAATTCTTTTCTTTAGCAACTATGTACGGCAACGGGACCTATTTCGCGGTCGAAGCTAGCTACTCAGCCAGCTCGTCCTATGCAAGACCCAACGCCAGCAACATCAAGCACATTTATGCCACCAAAGTGCTGGTTGGCGATTTCACAACAGGTTGTCATGGTATGCTAGTGCCCCCAAATAAGCCTAACAACCCAGATCAACTGTTCGACAGCGTTGTCAACAACACGAACAGTCCCCGAATATACGTCATCTTTCACGATGCCCAGGCTTACCCAGAACACCTCATCAAATTCAGATAGAATGGATTATTCTCAGACTCAAGTGAAAGTACACAGAAACACAAAGTTAAGTTCATGACTCTTGCCACAGCTGGTTTCTTTACTGGTTCAAAAATCTTGCCAGATAACAGTCTGTATTTGGGCAACCTGGCAAAATGCATTAACCTGGGGTACACTAGTTCCCCTGGACTCGCCAGTCCCAGCCATGATATAAGGCACAAAAGACCTACCATATGCATGCATATGTACATCAGACCATGAAACAGGTGGGAAATTAAAACTGCAAACTATGAAACAAAATGCTGTGACAAAAGAACCGAACTTGCACTATTTTCCCTTCCTGTGCAGGCCACTCACATGTCAGAAGCCTTCTCATTGGTTGAAGTTCTCCATTCTAAAGCTGTCATTGGTCAAAATCCCTTTAAGCTGATTGGCTAAATGGGGGTGGGGAGTGGGAGTGGGGGGCTTCAAGCTAAAGTTGGGGGCGGGCTAACTGGATGTTGGACATATATATGTACATAATCGTGATCGGGATATGCAAGTTGGGTGAATAAGAGGCTATGATTTTTCATGGAGGGGCATGCGACCCGCCCCCCCCCATGCCGCTGGCTACAGAAACATCGGATGCAGTTTGCCCTCTTGTGTTTTCCAAAATTCTAAATTGACATTCGTGAAGACAAACTTTATGTTGATTAAATCACCAACAACCTGTAGTGAGTAGATATCCACACAAGACAAGGGATAATAAATGTTACATTTGGCATAAAAAGAGTCTTTCCTCTCTGGTCAGCACGCTTTCAAGCACACACGCGGATTTTTTTCTCTGCAAGAGCTGCAATAGCGCCCTCAATAGCCGCTCTGCCTCAAAATTTTTGCTTCGCTCGTCACCCAGAACTCGAGCAGGGCACTGAGAAGGGCTGATGACTTTGCTTCGATTTTAGTGAATGGATCACGTCACACGGGGTGACAGCTAACGACGCGCAGAGCATTGTTGGTAAATTTCTGCGGGGTGCGCGAGCTCACTCAATGCGTTATACAAGCGGCGGTTTTCAATTCGATATTCAATTCGAATTCGAATTCTTTTTCTTCCTCATTGCTGAAAATGTGCTCACTGCACTTTTATTAGTTCATCTATAATTGATCAAGATAACCAATGATTTGAAATACATTGCCAGTAGACACGTGATCAGTAATACTTAGTGAGAAGATAAATTACCACACTGTGATATTACCAAGGCCCTGTTTTTATCACAATATGATATATTGCAGCCGCCACTTTGCCCATGCTAAAGCCTTGCCATGGGCGCACCAAAAAATTTAAATAACGCTTCGCTTACAGGAAGTGATGACCTCATTGTCCCAGGTCGTGCACAATGTAGCCAATCACAGTGCAAAGCCATCAGCCCCGACGAGCGAACATTTGTACAGGTAGCTCGATCTTTTACATCACAGTTACTGCGTGGCTATTTTACTGCACAGGCCTCACTTATACGTAGCGGTTGGTAGTCGAATCGGGTGCACCCACAGTGTGACTGGTTCTGTACTGTACGGTGTGTTTTGTGCTTAAATTTGAGATGGACGACGAAAGGATGGATTCTAACATCCAGTTTGCCAGCAATATGGATTGGGTCTGACCTGTTTTGTTTAGAAAAGGGCCTATTCTTTGAAAAGTGATATAATAATGTTCATTTGTGTAATTCCCGAATGCTACTTTTTATCCAATAATATGCGAAAGTCTTTTAATAGCCGATCACTTCACTTGTATTGTTTAATATGTTTAACATAATGTGCGCTGAGAGCTATACTTAATTTGATCTGAAATTCATCATGACAATTTCATCGTGATGACTGATATGGAAATGTATTTGGAGTAGAAACTGTGATGTCTCATGGTCCTGTGGATTCTGTTTTGATTCGAGGAAGGATCCGGAACAAAATTTTCGGGGAGGGTGGAAAATGGTTTGGGGGCCAACAAGTTAGCAATTTTGTTTAGGAACCCTTTCCGTAAAGGGGAGTGAAAGTTGGGGCTACTTTACACCCAAACAAAATTTAAAAGTCCTAAAAATTGTTCTTTTCTAATTGAAGGTCTAGTGCAAAAAACTGCCTTGGGCAAGGCCCTTGTAGTCCCCTCCCCGAGCCCATTGATGGGTTCGATTACGTTCAATTTTGTCTTCGATTTGATCAATATATTTGTTTTTTGTTGTGATGAAATGCATAACCTACAAAACGATTGTAAGCAAATGTAAACACATAACAATTTATCTCGTTTGAGACAGAAGAAGGCAGGTTTTGCTAGAAGGATTTTGTTTTTGAAGTGATGGTATAATTAATTTGTCACCGTTGCAAAACATGTAGGATTTATAAGTCTATTTGAAGAGTAATTATCTTGCTGGTTAGCGCAACTGAAAAAAATGTAAATGGTAAAAACAGTCTTCAACACCGCGACTCTCATCACGGTAAAAAAAACTTTGAAACGACCTCATTTCAAATACTAGTCTTCAGAAACAGTTCGGGCTTAATGGGTTTTCCTTTTCTCGTAAAAATTCAGTATTGCACGCTACTTGTAATCTGTAGACAGGGGTTATATGTTTTGTTACTTCTTGCGGATCATTCCATAAGCTTTGTACATGAACATATAAAAAGAGGATAATTGGAAATTAGTTTTTGCTTCCAAATTCCTGCCGAATACTGGTACATTCCAACCCTTCCTGGTGTCTCATAATACTTCTTGGTGTCTCACAATGCGTGTTAATGTCAACGACTGAGCGCATCCGCGGAGACAAGGGGGTATATACATATATATTTCTATGGCAACGTATTATGAATAAAATATAACAGATGTATTATTTAAAATACTTTATATTACTTTATTTTGAATACTATATATCATAACGCATTCTTTGTACAATTTTTTCCATATCGTCACCATCACAAAGTAGCACTCAACTGCACTTGCGTGCTACTTCGTGAAAACCGTGTTTACGGCAATGTCGGTTTCACAAAGCAGCACTTAAGTGTGCGCACGCACATCGCACACTGAGGTATAATCGAACGATTTTCGTTTTCTCGAAGTAGCACTCGTGTGTGTTTTGTCAATATAGCATGGATAAAAACGCTCTGAAAGGTCTAAAATGATTTGATTCACCCGTAAATATGTTACTTAACTAGAAGATACTCTTAAAACTCGTTTTAACTGCTTAAATTAGGGAAACGGCCAATTCCTGAAAACGACAATTAACGGAGCACGTGCCGCACGGCACCAAGTGCTACTTCATGAAAATGAAAATAACACATTTCTGTAAAATACGCGCTGAAGCAGCGCACATCTATGGATGAGTAGGCCTGCTACTTCGTGGTGTTGATGACGATATGCTTTCTTTTACGTGTTATGAATACGTCAAATAGCCTACTTCTTTGTATTCATTATTTACAACAAGTAACGAAAAATTTTCTTTAGCTTATAATAAACATAGCGCAAACGATCGTTTGGTTTATTAGATTTGCAAAATAAATTTCTTTCTTTACAGTGGGCGTAAAAACCAAGTTGCCAAAAATCAATTTGCCAAAAAACCAATTTGCTTTTTAGGTGTGCTTTTAATTTGTAATAATTCTGGTAAAGTGGAATGTCAGAACGATAGAGGGAAATATCACATTATGTCCTTCCACACGTGCGGTTCTTTTTGTCTCTATTTTAAATTTCATAGAGTAAATGGTTTGATATTACAGAAAATCGGTCCAGTCGGTCTTGTTTTAATTAGGGTTAAAAGTGAACAATAATTGTTCTTGTGCACGTTTCATCTAACTTTCAATAGTGGGTACATTTGCCAGAGTAGTGCAGGGATCAGGTTGGCTCATTATATCTTGTTGTTGGTCTTCTTTTCTTAAGGCACAAAAAATCTGAGACTGCTCGAAAATCTGTATCTTTTTTGTTCCGGGTAATACAATGTACTCAATGCATTGATTCCAACATTATGCTGTATGTTCATTCATTTTTGGCTAAAGACCTTCTCTTAACTAGTGTTTTAAATTTATTATCAATTAAAATCTTACATATTTTCTGTGCATTCGTGTGATGGGTGCTTTTAATTACACGTTCATATCATTTCACTGTTTATTGGCTACGTACGCGTAGTCCAGCTGCATTTTAATTTTCATTCCAACAATTCTACTTGGGATTTTACTTACAATAAGCCAGTTCAGTATTTCAAAAAGCGAGGTCATTCGGGAGCAAAAGACGCGCGAAGGCCCGCGCTAATTGGACAGACCACACACGCGCATCCCAATGACGTCGGACGCGTCTCATTCTGGGCTTGCGCTGTTGGAATATCAAACCAGCTCATTCGATACTATTTTTTTTTCAATACCAAAAATCACCCACGCTTCGACAGACGTTGGATGGGGCAGTAAGATCATTCCCCAGACCCACTCATCTTGCAGCAGAATGAAAGAACGTCTGTAAGTTTCGAATTAGCATCTATAGAATTCTGAACTTCGAAAGGAAACAGCCCAGTCATTAAAGGTAACGCGCTGAATGACAAAAAAGTCTTGACACTGCTCGACCGTGGTGACTACCGGCTGTTTAAGCCTAGAAATAAGGCCATCAGCCCTGCGGGCGCTGGGCGACGAGCGAATTCCGACCAACGCAGCTCTTTTCAACCGATGAGGGCGTGCTTCTGTTCGAGGCGGATAGTGTGCAGTTTTCGGGCGACATACAACTCCAGAAACCATTCTACATATAGTACAGTTATATATAGCAGGCAAAATATGGGACGGAGGGGTACCCCCCTTACCTGTCCAATCCCTATACACACTCTAGACTATTGTTACCTAACACATCCCCCCTAGAAGTCTGCACAGAATTCCTGAGATTCCGATCAAACAATGACCAACACAAAGGCGGGGGGTTTCTCTCCGTCCCATATCTTGCTTCAAATGCAGTTATACGGTACATATCCTTTCTTAGAAGTAGACGAGATACTAGTTTAATCCTTTCTTGGCCTTTATTTCTCACTCTGAAAATTCCCATAGCTGAAAATAGCGCAATTTGTGCCATGATATTGAGAAGCTAGGGGAAGTTCCCGTTGTACGCAATGATTCCGTATGTATTTTGGCGCACACGCCATTCTGCTGGCTACATTCATCGCCGGCAGACTTTGTATGTGAGGTCGGTTGTTATGCAGCGAATGTTACATCTAGGCTTTTCTTTTGGTGACCAATGATTCCTTTATTAGCAGCTTTTCCCATCGATGGCTTCGTTTAACCAAGCCAAACAGACGTCCATTTACGTTCGCCTTCCCCCCATCGGATCTCTGAACCAGCAATCCAAGTTCCTGGACAAAGTGTGCATTTATTTCCAGAAGACTCGGGTGAGCCAGGGCAGCGACGTTCAGGAAGTGCATGTCATCTCGTCCGACAATGAAGCACTGTGGCTTAGGGTTACTTTCAGTGAGCCGTCAGGTAAATGCATCATCATTTTTCTTGGGTCGTTGTACGTTGCCCACGTGCAACTAAATAGAATTCCACTTTTCATTTCCATGTTGCCCATGTCAAATATTCTGTTATTCCTGAATGATTTCTTTCTTCCCGAGTCATCTCATGAAAAATGCAATAATACCTAACCAACCACAGCTTGAATGCGTCTCGAGTGGTCATGTATCACTGTGATAGGACACACATTTCATGGCAAATATCCTCCAGTAAGTTTAGTTCAACGACAGTCTATTTTTCTCTGATTCACATTTTTAGGTCATTGGTATGGTTATTATTCGTGACATATTTGTGTGAAATCCCCTGAAAGTTTTAAGTAAACTCTCAGAAGAGATTGTGGATCTTCACCTATACTATAGGATAAGTTTATGTTGCGTAGCGGAATTTCCCTTGTGGATGCAACACCTACCTAATATGTATTTTAAATTAAAAATGTGTGGTTCACGTACATTGAATTTTTCTAAATTTTGTTAGCAACATTATCCTTATGTCAGACATTGGATCCTAACTGTACGCATTAATCCAATTAACAGTGCTTCGACAATAGTTATGAGTGTGCAACATCAAAATCTTGCGTTCGTCACGGTTGTCACGAAAATGTTTAATTTCCTTAATTTAATGCGCGTTTTCATATAAATGAGCAGAACTGTGATGTCATCTCAGGAAGAAACCTCATTGTATGATGTAACAATGGTTAAAAACTCTTGAATTTCTTGACGAAATGCTGGCCTGAATTTACTCTTCTTTGGTGATTTGTTGTGTAGAAACATAGCAATAAGCAGGCAATCACCTTTTCTTCGTAAACATTTTCACTGAGTTAATTTGGGATTTATAATTTGAACAAAAAAAAAAGCATTAAACCATTTCTTCCCTAAATGACATCACAGAAACAGTGCCCTTTAGAAAGGTTGGATAATGTTAAATCTTAAAAAGTGCAAGTTTTAATTCTTTTAACCTAAGAGAGATGTGAAATAGTTTTCAAACGTTGAAGAATTGTATAACGATGCAGAAAATTTGTGTCTGTAAGCAATCCACTACTGCTACATTTGTAAGCAGAAACAATGGAGACTATAAAGCCAACAATATGACTGTGATTCTTTTAACAAGCAAGAAAGCAAACCTTTATAGCCCCCTACCAAAAAGCTGCAACTGAAGTTTCTAAAACGTAAATTCCGTAAATTAAAATATGTTTTAGAGAGGGTAACTTGCCCCTGCCCCCCCATCCGCTGGTTACAACACTGTACCGAGCGTAAATAATATGCAGTATAGCATGCACACCAGCGCCAATGGTGATACACTCTGGAAATTAGTTGATGTTACACGAACTTCTGTGTAAGTGAGATCAGAATGGGAATTCCCATATTGCGAGATTGAGCTATGAGGAAGTCCCAGAGCCGCGCGATCGCGACGGTGGCAATTGTCCATGTTTGCATAGGCAAAATGCAACGTCCAAGATGGTATGGGAAACGTTGTTGCTTTTTATATCATCAACAAAATTAAAAGCTACTGACAGGATAAATAGTACAGGTGTTTTAGACATAAATACTTGTAATTATATTGCGATCGCTGCGCTCGCTGCGGTAGCACGACCATGTGCACACAGCGCGCTACGCTATGTATATGTCTAGCCAGCACACGTTACCAAGTTACTAGCCAATCAGGTACGTGCACTGCAACTCATTAATAAAATTAGACTAGCTCTAGTCCTATACACTTTCGGTCACAATATGTTGTAAAGAGTGGACGCCTGTATAAATAAGCTGATAGTAAAATGACTTTGCGGAGGAGAATTTCTAAAAATCAGTACATTTTTCTTAAAGGATTGAGTCGAATGTGCTTGTATCATTCTACTGGGGATAGATTCACAGTGATTTAGGCAATTGGGCTGTTTTCTGTCATTTTGCTCAATTTCTCAGGCGTTGAACACACACTGGCTCTCGAACACCACGAGCTGGTTTGTGATGGAGAAACCATTCATCTTCATGTCCAGTCATCTCCTCCGACGCCAGATTCGACTGAACCACCTGCTGACACAGACACAGATTCTGATCTTGAAATAATAAGCTTGGTGGGTATACCAGACGGTCAACTTTGGCGTAGCTCCTTGTGTTTTCTAAGCTTAACAGAAAAAAAATGACGTCCTAACTCCACATTTCACAACATTATTAGGATAGCATTTGAATTCGTTTGACACTGAGGCAACTTATTTGGTCATAACAAATTTGTGGGTATGAAATCTTGAGAAATAGGGTTTGTAAACTAATATTTAAGCATGTATAAAATGTTTTGGTGGAAATTAATTTGACCAGAGACAGCTTATAAATCTGTTTACTTTTTAAATGTGATTGGTTCGTATGTTGCAAGGTAGTGTAATGGCAAGTAATTTTTAGGAACTGTGAAGTCATTGTCATTTATATACAGCCCCGCGTAAAGCTCATTCTTACGGAAGCGTATAAGGGCCACTTGCAAAAAAAAATTTCGAGTTACTATCTCGCCACGGGGAGTTACTATCTCGCCGCGGTGAGATACCAGGCCTATTTTGAAAAAAAATCGCAAGTGGCCCTTATACGCTTCCGTACAGTCTGCAGCAACATTGAAAAAGTTTTACCATGTACTTTTTCGGTCAGGTTGACTAGGCATATCGGTTCAAGTTCTTTAGGGGATGGCACAGTGATTCTATTTTGTTATGTATAGTTCCGCACTTCTTTGACTGAAAACCTGTCTTGTTGCATTCAACTGTAAACACTCTCATTCAGTTTGAAATATTTGGCATTCAACTGTAACTGCAGTTTTAGTTGTTATCTTCTTCCCATTTGACGTATTACCTGCTTGATGAAGACTCAGACAGAATTCGTTGAGGAAGTTTGATGGCACACATTTTATTAGTCCAATAATACAGTTTAAAGTGCGCCAAAATGTTCTACTTACCAATTATGAAGTTATTTCTAACGTTTGTTATTGCTACAGGATAGTTTAACTTTACATGACGATGATGTGGGCTCCAGCAAAGGCAGTGAACGGCACACCCATGGTAAACCTGCTAAATCTGGACATCCTGGGCACGGAAAGAACCCATTCATCAGACCAACCACATGGATGGAGCAGGTCAGCAGCGTCAATGAAAGTGTGGCCAAAACACCTCATCTTTACCCTCCGACTAATCTTGAGCAGACTGCCAATCCTACATGTTTAGCGCAGCCGTTTCCGCCTCCGTCTCCGGCAGCTGTACATGCCCCTCCGTTTACGACATCTGCGACAATGCGTGCACCTATAATGTCTCATCGCGCATCATCTCTCACTGGTGTTCCTCCAAATGTATCCCCTACGGTGCTTCCAGCTGCGCCTAGTGCACCTCCAACTTCACATTCCGCGGTTTCTTCAACTACGACGCTTGCTTCACAGCTGAGTTCAGACCATGATGCCGGTACAGGGGTACGTTTGGTTAATCCAAACAAATAAAGACATTTCCAGCTCTTATTAGTTCCTAACTAACTGGTAAATAATGTAGTTAGTGACGCAAAGCACCTGTCATAATATTTAAACTCGCCCTGAGTGTCAAGGGGTCTCGTACCTGGATTGGTTTTGACATTCATGCGGTAAGAGGGTTGCTTTTGTCAGTTGAACAAGGGTACATTCAAATAAACAGGCTTGACTTCTGATGAACTGTCTTTAGTTGTTCCATCCAAAAAGGCAATTTTTATTGATTTACTAAAACTAAACTACATCTTTCTTTGGATAAAGTCTTGACTGCAGCCATCCAGTAAAACAAAAAACTGGCTACTGGTATTTTAAAATGATTTTCATATGTTTCATCTTTCCCCTCGCTGCATTTTCTACGCAGGCTGCTTCAGGTGTGTGGGATTTCCGGACCCCGTCGGCTCAAATCTTGTCTTATCAGAAAATGAACCAAAGACGAGATGCATGCGAGGAAGATGGCAACTTGGTGCCTCGCAGTGAAAATGGTGCCGTCTACAGACGAGATTCAGAGCCTAACTTCGGGTTCAACTTTACACCAGACAATCCCCCATCAATGGCTTATTGGAACACGACGGGGCAGAAGACTGGTTTTGATTCCAGAATTTGGAGCAATGTTATCCCTTTAAATAACCCACGGTCCCCTTGGCACGCCCCAGCACCTGCATCACAACCTCCTCCAGGGTTTGGATTCCCCGGCCTTGGTAGAGGGATGCCTGTGAGAGGAACCACCGGGCCTCAACAATGTTGTCCGACTAGTATCCCACCTCCTGACGTTGGCGAATTAACCCTGCCAATGCAGTCACATCATCGATACAGCATGCCTTTGGGGGACCCAAACTTTCTTGCAGCATCACCTGTAAGTAAAAAGTCTTCTCACCAGGTGACATCAACAAGCAGGATTCCAGGTATTGCGGTTCGTGCAACTCCTGCCCGTGAAGACAATCCTTTTCTTACAGAAAAGAGTGAAAAACAACAGGTGAATACTATTTACATACAAATTGTAATGCGTACAGATTACTATGCGCTTGTGAAACGTCCCTGCTTCTTCAAAGAAATGGTTACAAGATTAAACGATAAATTTCTAGTCGTTCATCTGTTAAAAAGGAATGATTTAATCGAGAAAGGCAAAACGGCAGCATGAGGGTCCTTATCTGTTTTGTACAATCAAGCAAGTCACATGTAGATCCTGACATATCGTGTCCAAAATGAAAATATTCTATGAGATACAGACCACTTTCCAAGCATGATGCCATCAGGATCAAAGCTATACACTTTGGAAAAATCACGAGTTATCTTCGGTCGATTGCCTCGACAGGATGACCACTCTGACTCCGATGAGGAGGAGACAGAAGAGGAGCAGTTGGTCGAAGTGACGGATTTCAAACCCACGACCTCGGACGAAATGCTGCGGTTGTATTTTGAGAATCCTCGTAAGTCCAGAGGAGGAGACATTGAAGCCTGGGAGAAGGACATCAAATCCGGAGCCATCCGAATCAAGTACAGTGATCCATCAAGTAAGCACATAAACTGTCTGTGGTTTTCCTGTCTTAATGCAAATCTCCCCAGTGATGTATCAAAAAAAGGGAAACGGTTTGCTGTGACTGTATCTTGGGATTATAAGTCTTTGCAGTCAAGGCTTTTGTGTGACAGACAGATCTAATATAAAATTCAGTGCCAACTTTCAGAGACGGTCGATGTATTCTTTGCTCAGATCTAACTCTATGAGCCTAAATTTTGAAATTCTACCTGGGAATAAATGCTATGATGTGATATCGCTTACACACAATTTACCAGAACTGCAAACTACTGCAGTTTTGCCCTCTGGTAATATCTAATAAAGTTACTTGACCGCAAATGCGTTGATTTTTGTCTGTCAAAGAATAGTAAATTATTACCATCGGGTGTCATTTTGTTGCTAGTTGCAAAAGCAGTGACAGAGAGAGCTCACAAAGTCGAACGCTGCAATCTGTCAGTGAGGCTGATTGTGAAGAAGAAACCTCGCCCCCGTCCCGTCAAGAAGCGGTGCCTGTTTCTGAGCGGTATCCCAGATGAATGCAATTCTGAACACCTCTTACTTTACCTCGAGAACTGCTCTAGTATGGATGAACCTAGAGTTCAGTACGGTGAGATGCCTGGCACAGCGCTGTGTACATTTGCGGAAGACATACCAGGTATTTTGTTAGATATAACCAAAATATTTTATATTCTTTTTTAATGATTTTCTTTTTAGTTTTCATATATATTTTACTGTAACCAAAGTATGCAATTGCAAGTACGAATGATGTGCTTTTCTATATTTTTGAGCAGTCATTTGCTACTTTTCACTACGCACTCAAGTTCAGCTTAATTGACTTTTCCCTAAGATAGTTATTACTACATCAAGTAGTATAGAGCTCATCATTTATATCCACTACATCTGTTGTCGATGCTACCTCAGTCAATTCAGTTTTTACCTTGCCTCTGATTGTCATATAGATTTGCAGAAGGTCATCAACAAGATTTCCTCGAAGAAGCTACAGAAAGCTCAAGTGACAGCAGAACTGGTGCATGAGTCCGACTGTATCCTTGTGCAAGGTGGGTTTGGATTTCTTAACATTCACAGACTCCCTCAGGAATTAATGATGCATAAGAAGAAGGGTATAGTATATTTCTCATACTCAAAGAGGGCCGCACATTTTTTAACAGCAGGTGATCAGGCATTAAGAAAACTTTCTATACACTGTCAGTGAGATAATCTTTCACAATTCTTAATTTTCTGCTGTTTTATTGAGCACAAACATATTTTGAATGCTTTTTGTTAGGTTTGACATCGGAAACGTCTTTGGACTTCATTGAGTTGTATTTTGACAACAAAAAGAAAAGTGGTGGCAGCGGTGTGAGAGAAGTGTTGCCAGGAAACGCCGAAGACCAGGCCATTGTCTACTTTGAAGACTGGAAGGGTATGTATCTTAACTGCAATATTAATGAATATTTTGATTTTCTTGTAACAATAGAACGATTTAAAGATCCCCACTTTGCTTTAATTGACAGAATTAGCAATAATGTGCTGAAGGCCTTCTATAGTTTAGTCCATATGCCACGGTTGAAAAACTGTGTCAGTCTTTTTACTAACTTATTTACACTGTATTTAAAGGAAGACACAAAAATTTATCAAACATTCAAAGATCGATTTTCTTGGGAATCTTACTTTTTAATGCATAGAGAGTTTTGTTTGTGCTTTCTGTTTCTAGTTGTGAGTGACGTATTGTCAAGGAAAGAACCTCACAAGGTGTGCAACACTCTACTGACAGTCGAAGAATACCATGACTGCTTGGGGAGACTTACTTCATTAGATGCCCCAACTCCACACATTCCGAAGCCGATCTCTGTGATGGTACCAATAGACATCATGGAATTCATCTACCGAAAGGGCCAAGAAACAAAGAAAAAGCTGGTCGGAGAGTTAAGGAAAATAAATGCCACTCTTACCTGGCCTGATGGTGACAAGAAGACGGCTGCTAGACTGGAGCCCCTGGTTGGAGACGGGCAGCGTCCGTCAGTCTGGATCAACTGGTCTCAATTATGTAGGGAAGCTTTGACTAGCTTCCTGGACGGATGCACGTCAACTACAGTTCCTGTAGCCACTTTTCTGTGGAAAGAAGCAACTGCCAAGCTGGCAAAGATCAGTACTTCTCAGACCTGTTTAATTGTCCTGGAAGGCCAGACTCATTCGGTGCGTTTTGTAGGAGAGAAGAAAGATGTTGACGAGGCAATAGCAGACACTAAAAATGTCATCAAGGAGCTTCAAGCTAAGGCTGATCGTGATGCCCAGCAGACGAAACAAGATATAGGTATGGCACCACACAAGCTCCAGCTTTTTCTCCAGTGTGGTATTCGCAGCAAGATGGAACACAAGTTCCCAGACCTGAAAATCACTGTTACGTCTGCGCAAGGGCAAGTGGGAATCACTTTGGAAGGAAAGAACAAGAACGTCAAGGACGCAGAATTACTGATGCGAAGACAGATGGACGAACTGAGCAATAAGGAATTGAAGACGGGGAGGAACAAAACGGAATTTGTTCGCAGAGTGTCCGACAAAATGCACGAGATTTGGGGCTCACAAAAAATCAGTGCTGCGTGCGACATTTCTGCAGACGGCAAAATTACAATCTATGGCGCCTCCAAAACCGATACATCCCGGGCTAAAACATACATTGATCAAGAAATAGACGAGGATGTAATCCGTATCAACGGGCCTGCTGTGTCAGCTGCTCTGAAAAGTCAGGGAGGACTTCAGCTTATTGATGGCATTAATAAGAAGAAATTTGCTATGGCCGACATCAATTATAAATCAGGTAATTTTAATCATATTGAAAATATCCACATAACATTTCGTTTTAACTGATTGTGTTACGGTTCATGTGTGGAAGTTTTTGCTTGTTTTGTAGGAAATGTAGAGCTTGCCGGATTCAAGACTGAGTTGAAGGAAGCCAAGCAGCACATCCTCATGTTCTTGAAGGATAATGTAACAGTCAAGGGAACCATCCGAGCGACTAGAAGCAAAGTCCGCCTGATCACTTCATTCCACGGTCAGGAACTGGCTGATTTTACCACAAAGCACCAGAGAGATCGCGTCACCATCCAGCCACAAAGGAGCAGAGCTAACAAGGGGTTCCTCTTAGAGGCGAACGAAGAGGGCCTTAATGCCGCGAGTCAATTCATCCACAAGCTCCTAGCTGAGATCAAGGAGAAACCCTATCCCGTCTCCAAGATCGGCATGGCCCAGCTTTTCCGTGAAACGAAGGGAAAGAACTTTCTGGAATCTGTGGAGAAGAAGCTCAAGTGTGTGATCGATGTAGTCGGCGATGAAGAAGATGACATCGAGGAAGGCAGCAATGCAAGTCAATCTCCAGGAACCACCGAGGTACTGTGCAAGATAACTCTTCCTGACGGCTGCACTTTGAGAGTGTGCAAAGGTGACTTGACGAAGCAGATTGTAGACTGCATCGTGAATGCTGCAAATGAAGATCTTAAACACATTGGGGGCTTAGCAGCTGCTATACTTCAGGCTGGTACGTACATAGCATGATCGTAAATACCAGGGGTGGGGTGAGGGGAATATATTCCCTCTACTTTGGGGGGACCTGGCTATTGAATCATCCCCCCCCCCACTTTTTCTTAGAGAGAAAAAGTTGAAGCAGATTGTGAAGAATTTTTGGACTTCCGAACAACTGCGCTTCAGAAGGGTACACTATACCGTACACTACAAGCACTTTATTTATCAGTAATTATTTTTTTATCTTGTCAGAAATGAAGCGCCCTTCGAGAACTAATGGACCATTTTCCTAGCTTTTCATATCCTTCTTTTTCTGAAAAAAGGACGTTTAAAAAAGATCTCGTCCAGGTTTTTAAAAACTCCGTTTGAACGTGCATTCGCGATGTCCTATCGGTCTATATGGAGGTCTATGTACTCGCCACATAGGCGCCCGTGTATAACGGAGATAAAAGGCGCGTTTGATGCGGAGTACACCGAGTACCCTTGATACTTTTTATTCTACTTCTATGCTGAGTACGGGTACATAATTTATTCCTTAAAGCGCAACCCAACGGTGGTGAAAAAATTGGAGAATACGGTTTAATATACTCACGTGGTAGGTAAGTGATAAGTGATATATGTAAAGTGACACTGTGGCTTCTCAGTAAATAGTAATAATGCGATAAAAGTATGGACCAAGTCTACGGGGTTTCCAAAACTTTCCACGCTTGTACTGTTGGTGGTGCCACGCAGAAATGCTTTTTGATTACGAATCACCGTGGAAACGAGAAACGTCAGGACCTCGTAGGACCTGGTTTCATGGATATGTTTTCGTACAAAAGCCTGCACGCCTGAGCTGCCAGCCTAGCCCAACACTTTTTTTCGGAATAAAATAACAACATCATAAATAACATTGAGAACATCTGTCCTTCGATCATTCGGAACTCATCAAGCCGTATTTTTCTTCACTGCCTTGGCGCTCCACTGGCACGACGGGTTCAACTTCAAAACGGAAGGCTCTGCGCCTCAGACTGTGCACAGTAGCTCTGTGGTATACATGTATGAACTGTAACTACACACGTATGTAATAATATGCATTGACGCCACCGCGCCGGCTCAGTGCGTACATGCACCAGCCAGAGAACCGTTTCCACGGTACCACGTGGGAAAAAAATCCTGGAAAAGCCGTATTCATGAGATGTAAATGAAGCCATGACGACACGCTTCCTTTCACGAAAGCTAGCATGGCGCTCGGCAGAAACAGGCCCAAAAGTGAGTTTTTTTAAACCAAAGATATTGCTGAATCTGGGTTTATGTGGTATCGATGTCTAGAATGGGATCCAAGTAAACATACTACGGTCAGATTTCTTATTTTCTTCCAGCGTCGGGGTTGCTCTTTAGTGTGTGGTCTTTCCGTGCACGCAGAACGCGCGCAACTATGAACCAGGTTGTAACCACCCGCTCCAACTATCCACCGCTTCTTATAAGTGAGGCATGTGCAGCAAAATAGCCTGCAAAAACTGTGATTTTTTAACCAGCTGTCTTTTTTTAGCTGGTGTGGGATGCAATTCAGCTAAGGGTGGATAATAATTCCAAGTCTGGTTTTAAGGACGGTCATTTCTAATGCATTCTTTTATTTTTTGCTTTCAATCATTTATAGGTGGGCAAATAATTCAGACCGAGTCAGATCAGAAAATGAAGGAAAAAGGTCGTAAGTTATATGTTGGGGAGCCCGTTTACACTTCCAGTGGTAATTTACCGTGCAAGAAAGTCATTCACATGGCAGGACCCAGATGGTCGCGTTACCAGGCCTCCAAGTCAGGGCCAGACGATGAACCAACCCACGAAGAGCATCTACTCTTTGATGGCATCGTTGCTTGCCTTCAGATGGCGGATAAGCTGAGATTCCAGTCCATTGCCATTCCCGCGATAAGCACAGGAATATATGGATTCCCCATCAAGCTGGCTGCTGTGCAGATTGTAAATGCTGTGGCCGAGTTTTGTCAAAATAAACCAGACACTACTCTGACAGAGATTAGTCTTACAAACAACGACCAGCCAACCTGCGATGCGATGAGAAAAGTCGTACTGGATCAGCTGGGGTACCTTCAGGAGAAAGAACTAGGTATCGATGATACACAAGGTAATACTTTCAAATAATAACGAGAATTCAGACAGTGAACAAATATAAATCGAAAGACCTTTGTGCAGTCTCGGCAGCGGCGCAGTACATCTTTTGACAAAGCGACAATGCGATACCTTAGATCTCAAAACGAATCATCCTGTAACTATATTTTCTGTACTCCCCTGAAATGACAAACGTCTGGTACGAAGACTCGTCCCTCACTCCAGCTCCTTTGTTCAGATTTTTTAGGGTATTGGGTTATATATGTGTCACGGCATAGCTGGGTTTTCAACAGAATATTAGTTGTCTTGAAAGACTTGACTAATACTTCCGGTAGTCTACTTTGACGCATTCGTCAACCATTATTAAACGGATGGCCATTATAAAGCGAGTATGGCTTCATTCAACTTGCCGACTAACTCCACAGGTGTAGGTGGCTCATCACTGGCCAGTTATGAACCGGCTGTGGTAGCGTCGGTGTTTACTTCATCTGGACCAAACATCCTGACGACAAAAGAGGGTGTCACCGTTACCTTGAAAAAAGGAAGCATCACCGAAGAAATGGTAATTCTTCTTTGTCTTTGTCAGTGAGGGCATCGATATTAATACTTCCCAATAACCTGTATCCACACGAAAGATTTCATTTCGTAAGCATGTAACCTTTATACTGATCATAGCAGAAGTTGAAAATGTCCAATATTTCCTTCAGATGCTTCTTATTTAAGGTAACAGTTCCAGCCGTTTTACTGCCAATCTTTAATCAAATTTGGACGGGTGTGTAAAACATCATTCGCTATAATTTCCATTATTTGCTTTAAATATTTTGCAGGCTGATGTACTGGTGAACACATCGGGCACTGACTTAAACCTTAGCATTGGCTTGGTGTCACAAGCTTTACTGAAAGTTGCAGGACCAGCTCTGCAGCAAGAGTGCAATGCTGTGATTACTGCCCGCGGCAAGGTCTCAGCAGGTTCCTTCGTAGAAACTGGATCTGCTAATTTGACCAACTGCAAGAAAATCTTCCACTGTGTCATAGACAGATATCAGTCAAGCGCCTCGGAAAAGGTAAGTTGTGATTAAAAGCGATAAAACTCTGAAGAGAATTAGGCCTACTAGTGATAAACTACAAAATGCTTTGGCACTCGATCAGATCTTTTAAGTCTATCGGATGTTTTAAGTAAGCTACAAAAGAAGTTACTTTAAAGGTTCGCCTATTAAGTCTTTTACTCTTATTTATCTTATGTTGATTTCGACACAGTGTTGCAAATAACCATGTATCCCGTCTAACCATTGAACCGTAAATCGCCGATTCTCAGCGTTATTTATAATGCACGTTTGATCATCAGTGTTAAGTTTTGACTATTCAAAGTTGCCAAAAACGAAATTAGTCTGAGGCATAGCTAGGGGGCAGTATTCAAAGCTTGGTCTACAACTTTCAAATGCCAAAATCAGTCACCACTGTAATACTTGCTTAATTCAAAACAGAAGTTTCTGATGTGTTATATTTTTCTTGTTCTCTGATGTATTTCGGGTTGAGTCGATACTGGATGGTATTAATGTGTCTGTTTAGGTCGTTATGCAAAAACTGGCACATGGGATTGCTGCTAAAAGCGGCTGTTGGTTTTCTTTTTAATGAAGGGGTTTAAATTGTATAGATGTAGAAAGCAATTAATACTGAATTAATCGAGAGCGTTTGCATAGAGGCATAAAGAAGGAACGTCTACCCGCGTTTTGAGCTTCCTCTGTTTCCGTATAAACCAAAGTAAGATTTATGCATCACGATCAAGTTTATCGTGTAAAATTGAGAATTAAACTTGCATTTAAGTTTAATTTATTCAAGTGATTATCGTTCCAGCCCTTAGCGACCCTTGTAGAAGGCTTACTGATGCAAGCTGAAATTATAGAAGCATTGTCCTTGGCAATACCCGCACTGGGCACGGGCAACCTCGGCTACCCACCCGACGTCACCGCTCGAGTCATGTACGAAGCAGTCTTAGCTTTCAGCAGCCAACATCCGAATGCTGTTCTGAAAGACATCCGTTTCGTCGTGTACGACAAGGATACGAAGACCATTAAGGTATGCCATAAAGAGAACACTTTCTTTGCATAAGATGATCGTTATTACCACCTATTGAGGTGACACAGGTGTTGTCATCTTTGTTGAGATCAGTTAGCCCTTCAGTGTGTGCACGCCTGGTCAGACAGCATGAGTAACCACGCGCCTAATGCTTTATCAGTACAAACGATTTCAAACAAACAATTGAGTTTGACAGGCATTTTCACGATTGTTTCTTCATTTTTGACAGGGTTTTGAGGGTGAAATCGGACGCCTTACCTCGGGGGCAGTGAGAGGAGCAGCTGCACCTGCCGTTTCTAAGAGGAAATTAAAAAAATCAGTCTCGACATCAGCTGGTAATCTTGGAAGTTGCTGCGTGCTCGCCAGAAAACAAAGATCAATTTGTCTAGCTGCATCGTTTTATCATTGTTGAGTTTTTTGTACAAAGGGTAAATTGAAGACGTGGGCGAGAGAGCCCTGGTGTTCCCGATCACTTCGCCAAATGGTCAGTTCTGGAATGGACAAGAACGTAACATTTCTTATTAGGCCTCGATATCTTTGTAGTGACTTACGATCTCACAGATGTTTGCCCTGGAATAATTGGAAATCGTTGTGTTTATCTGCCATCTGGTGTAAACACCCGATTCGAGTACCCATGGCTACTTACAAGTGAGGCTTGAGCCTGCTATAACTGTGATGCTAATATTTTATCGTATGATGTAATACAGTGGGCAAGCTTATAAGTGAGGCTAGTCAGCGTCACGAAGGTTTGCATGCAGAAGGCTCCAACAAGCCTAGTTTGCCTACTGTATTGCATCATACGACAATATATTAGCATCACAGTTACTGCATGGTCATTTTGCTACACAGGCCTCACTTATAAGCAGCCGTGGGTAGTCGAATCGGGTGGTGTAAACTACTGCAAGTTCTTTAAAAATGGCCAGTTTGGAGAGCCACTCTCCCATACTGACAGAAAAGACCAAATTAGTGGACTCTTTATAAGCCAGATGTTGTTTCCAGTCTCTGGTGTTCATCTGGACAATTAATCCGATGATCAACGGCACTCAAATCCTATTCCGTTCTGCTTCCATTTTAGTCGGGGACCGACACTCGTACTCTCAGATTCACCGAAACTCAGATGGTGCAGTACAGGCACAAATTGGTCCAGTGTGTCTGCAGATTCGCCAGGGGGATCTTGTGAAAGAAAAAAGTCACGCCATCGTGAACAGTGTCGGAGAAAAGCTTGACCTGCAAGGTTTGTTAATAGATGAATAACTCACATTTATTATCTTGTTCGAATAGGCAGCCGCAGTTTGCAGAAATATCACCCTTTGAAATGTTTTGAAATGTACGTTTTGCTCCTTTACATTTAAATCCGGTCGTATTTAGTAGCGGCGTTTATATTACGGTGCGTTTTTAGCCAACGTGAGATTTTCTTTTAGTAAACACTCAAGGTATATTTATTATTTTGATTTTGTACTGAGGACCAGCCATAAAGTTTTCATTAGCCACTGGTAGACGAATAAGGCACTGGGGCCGGGTTCCCCCCCCCCAGCCAGAGGTAGGGTATGGAAAAAAAGTTTTGTCAGATAATCTGGCAGGCCGGTTTTCAGCGTATGTTATAATTTACATTTCTTAGTTGTTTTTCTTACAGAAGTCATGCTGAGACAATTTTTAATTGTGTTGTATAAATAGGTCCTGTGTCTAGCGCTCTCCTGGCCAAGGGAGGAGAAAAGATCAGGAAGGAATGTGATGATCAACGCCGGAATGGTACACAGGCTGCTATACTCATTGCTAATTTGAATCTTATTTTATGAAGCTGATTACATGGGATGATGAGGCTGTTGGTAATATTCATGTAAACTGAATTCACTGGTTTTCTACCAAAATGGTTTGACGCAATTCATTTCTAAGGTTGTTCTTTTCCATTCCTTTTACAGGATAATCACATACTGAAAAATATCGGTTTTTCCCTACAGATCCGACAAAAACGGTGTATGTCACAAAAGCTGGAAAATTACAGTGCAATCTCATTTTCCATGTTGTTACTCCTAAAACTCCCGAGGACATCAAGGCTGTCGTGGCAAAGACGCTTAAGCAAGCTGAAGAAAGGAAAGTCAAATCTATCTCCTTCCCTGCACTCGGAACAGGTAAAGTGGTCTGTATTCCTCTTGTGATAATTAACTCTCCAACAAGTCTTTTTTAAGACATGTAACAGCAGTGTGCACAGTTGTGGACTAATACATTTAACCAGCAAACTGAGAACTGCATCTGAGTTTGTTGTTACATCCGGATTGTTTTATTCATAACAACCCGCTAACAAGGATAAGTTGCAAAGTGCAAAAGATATTCTGCATTGTTATTTCTGTGCATTGAAAATATTATGAGTTACATCTTTTAATGATTTCCATTTTCACGGGCGTGTTGGTGGGCAAACGCCACAACCAATGGCTTTCATCAGACCATTTGTAAGAAAGGAAATCATTTTAAAAGTGTGCATCATTACCACAGACGTTAATGGATGGCCAGTCAAGTCAACCCTTTCAGTCTGTTGACTTTGATAAAGGTCACTCTTTCTTCCTTAGCCCGCCCAAAATATTTTAGAAAAGAGCTTGTCACTGTGCTAAGCCGCCAACGTTTTATATGCCGCTTAGGATTTCAAGCTGGTCAAGCAGTTTCTTCTTCGGCTAGTTCCATGCTGGCAGCCATCGGGGAGTTTGCCTGTAGGGAGAATCCTCGTCATCTACACCTCATTCGTCTGGTCATCTACAAACGCGAAATGCTCCCCGGATTCGAGGACGCTTTGAAACAGGAGGAGGGTCGTTCATTCAAAAAGCAAGCAGGTCTTCTGTCCAGAAGCATAGGTAAAAACAGACATTTCTGCATAAAATTGAATCACTGCGTCCAACTTCGTCATGAGTGTTCATTGCAGGGGAAAAGCTTCTACTGTGTTACAATCCTGTGCCTTTTATAGTATTTTACCTATGGATTGATACCAGCATTGAAGATACTTTGAAGGTGTGGCAGAGCTGTCGTTGCGCAGTGAAAACGTTTTCAGCCAATTTATACACTTTGGGTTCACATATTTGTTTGATGGAGAAAGAGTCATGGTCAAGATAATTCAGTGTTAAGATTTTTCCTTTGTGACCTTTGCCCTTGACAATCAAATATATCAGCTTAACAAGCGTCACTTTTTGTATTTGGCAGAGTGGGCAAAATCTTTTATGCCTGGGGCAGCCACTAATGAAACGTCCGACGATGAAGCCCCGCAAGAAACTCTCCTTCTACAAATATGTGCCATGGATGATGTCACCATTCAGAAAGCAACGGACGAGATCGATAAGTTTCAGTCTGAGGAGTTCACGTCCGAGGTAGAATCTTCCTTAAACGCATTGAAACCCCTCCTCCATTAGGGCTGCGTGCGGTTCCTTCCCTTTGGGGTTTCAGTCGCATTAGGCGTAGTAGAAATCAGCATGGTGTGGCAAGGTCGTACAAATGGGAAGAAGGCTGGCTGGCCAAAGTCAACAGCGACGTCATTCTTGAGTTAAAAAAAGCGCCCTCTATCAATAGCTCTCTGAGTCAATATGCTGTTGCTGCGGCCTGGATGAGGGCTCGCTGTGCCACATGCCGTTTTCGTATTCCGCACGACTGTTGACAAGTTGGTAATTTCTGGGGAAAAGAAACTGTGGTAGAAGCGACTACTATGTGTTTGGGATAGCACCTCTGTTTAGGTAGATTCGTTTCTACCCCTTGTGTCCATGGTTGTCCAGTGCACACTGGTCTGTCAACAGCTCAGAGAGGGTGTATAGGCCTATTGGCTCTCAGGTGATACTCGTTTTGCATGGTACAGAGTATCCACACAAGAACATACATGATAAATGCACAACCTTAAGTTCTGCGTTAAGGAACAAAAGCAGTACATCATATTCTGCAAAAATGAAGTGCAAACCAATATCTCCGTTTATCTTTGCAAAGGTCATAGGTTTGCCTTCAGCTTAAACAAACTTCAAAAGATTGTTTGAACTTGGCATTCTTTATGTTTGATGCTGGTTTGTCACAGGATATGCCGGACGATCATGGAATGACTGCAAAACTGACCGAAGAGCACCAAGCCGAACTCAGGAACATTGAACGGAAGTACAACGTGCGTATAGTTCCCTTTTCAAATTCAGCGAGTGTTTACGTCGCACGCAGGTTAAAAATCTGAGTTATTGACGCTGTTGTCAGGGTTAGATTTCAGAAATCGATCCACTGAAACGGTGCTTTATTCCTGCAGTTTTATTGCATCTTCAGCCTTTTAATGTGGTTTGGGTAGACAATTTGTCAAAACTCGCGTAGTTGTTTTCCAGGTGCATATAGAGCTCTCGAAAGGTCATGCCAAGTTTGTCCGTGTGGAGGGAACTACAATCAACGTGAAGGATGCACGATTTAGAATCCAAGAGTTGTTCACGAGAATGCAGGTGCAGGAAACTGAGAAGCAACGGAACGAATACCTGACGAAAGAAGTGAGTTTCAAGCAGTTCAGTCCACGATAAGTCCACGTTTTATGCCGAGACCAACTTTGCTTTGATAATGCAACATTTTTCAAATATCTATGTTGTGAATCTGAGATACATGAAGGAATCAAAGACACTAAGTGTTTGCATGCAATATGTCAACAGGTGCAGTGGAAGTATATCACCTCGACTGGTGCGGAAGACTATGACGCCGAGGTCAACGCCATTATTGAAGACGCCTACCAAAAGAAACGGCCATTGGTTACCCTCGATTTAGAAGAGGGACGGGTTACCGTCGACTTCAAAAAGATGAAAGAATTGTCGAGGGCTGGATCTCTCAGCATAAATCGCATTGATCTGCAACAAGGTAAATGTGACAGATTTCAATACAGAAACCTGGACGTGCAGGTGTTCGGTGATGTATGCCCCCTCGCTTGCATGTTTTATCTCTATAAAGTTTAAGTGGTCCAAGGTATTGTGTTTAATGTTGTACATCAGATATGGTTTACACGAAAGAACTTCCAAATGTGCTTGATTTACAGTCACATGTATTCATTTTATACTGCAGACTGTATCATGCTGTACTCGTGCAGCAGGGTCTTTCAAATTACAACCATCACTTAACAAAAACGCGTTTCAATTTCAGCTACCAAATTTGAACCGCCGAGCTCCTGGATACCCATGCAGAATAACGAGCATCTCCAACTGGTAAAACTGGCTGCAGGGACCCAGGAGTACACCGACGTGGAATCAAGTTTCAGGTTGTCCATGGGCAGTCAAGCCCCAGTAAACCAAATTGTTGAGGTAAGTTTACGGTACCTTTTCTTTGTGTAAGCACTTCCAAAACGTACTGCTTTGCCGTTTCAAACATGTTTCCGCTTATGGGTCTCTGAAGCACACCTAAGTGCTCAACACATGTGATCTTGACCTTATCTCCTATTGTTTAAGTGTGGTATCAAAGAATGAAACATTTACTTTCAAGCCTGTTTTAATTTACCAAGTTCGTCGGTTTTTTCTAAGAAAAAATTGAAATCATGAGTGGACGAAACAGTTAAATTCGCAGAGCTGCCTGCAAAATCTCATAAAGACCGTGTAACACACGGATACCCAGCTTTTATGCTTTGTTTGTACAAGACTATTCGGTCAGTCCAATCCATCACAGGGTCAACAAATGCACAAGTTAAAAGCTGTTTCAATGAACTGGTTATAGTTCAGCCCTTCTCACGTGGAGCCCATCAGTGAAATGGCTTACGATTTACTTGTGCGCAGACTTTGGTTGAGCTTGTATAGTGGAATCGACAATCAGCAGAGACTGAAGTGACATTTTACAATCACCAGTTCAGTATTTCATTCCATTTTCGATTTCGTGGCCCAAACCATTCACATTATTGTTGTAATACACGTCATCCTCTTAAAGAAACCTACAGAACCCCGCAGAAGTTGATGGTCTAAACTCGCCATCTGTTTGTGTCGTTTATTGACCCACTTCAGAGATGTGGAGATAGATTTGGACTTTTGTTTTGTTAACCGCAAGCCTCTGTTTTTCAATGCCTTGGCAGTTGATGGGTACAAGACCAACATTATGTGGCATCCATTGCTACCTTGACAAATTACGAAGGATTGCGTGCAGGGTTTCATCTAAGATTGAAGTATATCTGCTCGTTCCTTCCCAGAGTGCCAGTCTTGCCCCCAGAAAAAAAATTGAATCTGTTTATATCCCTCAGTACTATTCAGGCTCTCAATCATTTTGTCGGGCACCGTGACGTGACTTTTTTATATTCATTTGGCTCTCCCCATGAGCGATTTCCTTTCTGAAGTTAACAGCGGTCTTTGGTAACCCCCCCCCCCTCTGCGTGTTTTGCCCTACGTCTTTACGATAATGTTTGAGCATGCCCCCATTAATTCATATACGCTATGGACCTTCAAACTGAAACTCCAAGAGGCTAACGATAATCGACCGGAGCTGATAGGCACAAAGACCAACATTACGTGGCATACATTGCTACCTTGACACATTGCAACGGAAAGCGTACAGGGTTTCATCTAGGATTGTAGTATCTGCTCGTCCCTTCTCAGCCAAGGTTATAAAGAGTGCCAGTTTTCCCCCAAGAAAAAAAAATTGAATCTGTTACCATATTTCCACCGCAACCGATAGTTTGGTGGGAAATGTGAAGACTTGCTCAGTGTTCAAGATTTAGGTACAACGCGGGGTTTGTAAATTTTGAACAAGCAAAAACTTCCTGCCCAAAGTTGTTCTTGTCTGTCCCCTGAATGACAGGTGGTTAGATGAGACACTGTCCGCATCCACCCTTGCCTAAAGCGAATCCGATTCAAGCTCCTTCAGTTTTTCCCTTCGGTTTTAGATTTTGAGAATCCAGAACATAGAACTCTTGATGCAGTACCAGGCCCGCAAGACGGCGCTAGAGGCTCGTCTTGGCCGCACTAACATTGAAGAGACACTGTACCATGGTACCGATGAGCAAACATGTGATAAGATCAACAAGTTCGGATTCAACCGCAGCTTCTGCGGCAAAAACGGTAAGAATAATGGTTCCTTTCTTTCTGTGATATACTGCAATTCGTTAGCTTTGACTTAAGGGTTTGTAGCCTTTGGAGTGGTAAACATGTATATCACTTTAAAATTCTTTTACACTAAGCTACAGTGTATAAAGGTGTCCAAGTATTCTGACTGCCGTCCTTGTTAACCGTGACTATTATACTAGTCATTTAATACGGGCGATTCACAATAGTGCGCCTCCAGGAGTTTGCTACGCGTTGGCCGATCACAACGTGCAAAATCTGTCGACCCAATGCGCGTTTGGAAAGGGTGGACAGGTTTCTTGCGTTGTGGTTTCAAACTCTTGGAGGCGCACTATTGTGAGTCGCCCGTATTTAGTCGTATGGAGTTTCAGGGGCAAAACCTTTTCGTGAATTATATCTTGAAAAAAATCATCATGATGTGCAACTTTCCATGGCGAATGAAGCTAGACAAAGTTTGGAAAATCAAAGCCGCTTTGGTCCCGTTGAAAAATGAGAACTTGAGAATGTCACGAACCCACATAGTGTATGATGAAATGCCTGAATTCTTTTCTTCAGCGACCGTGTACGGCAACGGGACCTATTTCGCGGTCGAGGCTAGCTACTCAGCCAGATCACAGTACGCCAAACCGAATGCTAGCAACACCAAGCACATCTACGCCACCAAAGTGCTGGTTGGTGATTTCACCACAGGAAGTGGAGGCATGGTGGTGCCCCCAAACAAACCCAACAACCCAGACCAACTGTTCGACAGCGTAGTCGACAACACGAGCAAGCCCAGCATCTATGTCATCTTCCACGATGCCCAGGCGTATCCGGAATACCTCATAAAATTCAATTAGACAAGATAAGAAAAGACATCAGACATTCGTTTACAAGGGTTGCCGGAGGTATTACAACTCACCAGTCCTGTTCAGATTATTGCCTATAAAAGTAGAAAGTAGATCATATTAGTCTCTTGGGTACAGACCTTCAAGAGAAGTTTTGTTGCTTGTCAAATTTTATTTCTCTCTAAACTTTCTCTTAACACTTATTTTTAAGTACCATCTTTGTCTCGTGTTATGAGCAGGCTAGTGTTTACCTTTCTAATCTGTACTTTTTGCTTTGAAATGTGACAAAGGGTTTCTCGTTTTCAGTTCTCATTGGAGTTACAGTTCTCTGCAACATATCGTACTAGATATGTATAATTGTGTAGAATATAACAAGCCCGTTGCTGGGGGTAGGGGACGGACCCTCTAGGCCCCCAGGCGAGGAGCTGCCCCGCCCCCAATGGTAAAAACCGTAAGCATTAAAATTATCCATTGTTCTTGTCATGTGCGCCCTATCTGGTACTGTGACCCCCTGTCGCAAGAAGCTGGTGACGGGTCTTTAATTATCTACTACTTGCTTAAAGCCATAATGGGTACCGAGGAATGCGTCTCTTAGTTGATTGAAATCTCCAGTCACTATTACACCACATAATGGGTGCAATGGTATTTTTAAATTCACCATAGTGTGTTTTAAGTGATACAAAACTTGCTGTACACATCCGATTTAATCGAATTTCATAATTGCGAATTGAATTTAACAAGCGTTTAGTCATGTTCTAGATTTTAAAATGTTGTCTGTATTTAGTAGGCACCACGTGCATGTAGAAGCAAAGAAATCAGTTACATTAAGAATAGGCTTACTGAAAGGCAAAATTACGAATAATCATTTTGATAATGGGAATATCACATTGTGTTGCGGAATCATGTTCAAATAGGGGTCTAATCAACTGGAAGACTTTCTAATGTTCTTAAATGATGAGGATTTTTGTGAAAAAGTGCCGATGTATTGATATCGCTGTTTACACTACAAGTAATGTAGTAAATTTCTTAACAGTGTCAGCTGTGGGCTTACAAATTGATTTTACCCAATGCCCCAAAGAACTGTGAATGTTCTGCTGCATTTGGTGTATGATTCTTGGCAGTGCTCAGCCCAACTTAGCTTACAATTTATAGTAATACCTAAGTATTTCTCAGATTAACGTCGTTCATATAATAATCATCATATCGGTGAGTTCTTCTGGAAATTTTGATAACCTTACATTTATTTACATTAAACCCGAGCATCCACCTTTGCGACCAATCATTCAATAAATTCAGGTCATGTTGTAATCTACCACGATCTTTAGGGCATTTTACTGTACGATAGAATACACAATCGTCTGCAAATAGGCGAATAGTCGATTAAATATCATTAGATATTCACCCGCTGAGATCTATTAGTTAAGAAATTCATAATCCAATTCATATTTTTCTCACCGATATTAAACATATGAAGCTTCTCGCAGTGGTGAACTCGATTAAAGGCCTTAGCAAAGTCAAGGAAAATAACATCAACACCATGTCCGGAGTCCAAATAACTGCTCCAGTCACCCACAGTGTCCAAAAGTTGTGTTTCACAAGACCGTTTTTCTCTAAAGCCATGCTGATTGCGTTCAGTACCTCGTATTTGTTTAAGTGGTAGTCCTGTCGTGAATGATGCACTCAAGAATTTTACAAACGACAGAGGTAAAAGAGATGGGCCTGTAATTACAGGCGTCATCTTTCTTACCCTTTTTATGTAGGGGTACAAGATGTGCTTGTCGCCAGTCTAAGGGAATAACACCAGATTCCAAAGAAGTGTTGAATAACTTCGCTAGGGAGGGAGCAAGGATATCAGCGGCTTCTCTCAGAATTATGGAGGCAATACCGTCAGGCCCAGGAGATTTATTAAAATCGAGGTGGTTCATTATTTTAAGGACCTCTGAGGCACTACACTGAATATCACTCAACTGCTCGATACCTGGCATTACTTCTTTTGGTAAGGGGCGGTCGGATTGCTGTTGGGTGTTAAATACAGAATTAAACTGTGTATTCAAGGCCTCCGCAATAAGTTGAGGATTAGTAACAGTGACCCCATCTACATTAATGCACTCAGTAGAATTATGATTGCTTCTACAACTCTTACATAATTCCAAAACCTCATAGAATTATCATCAATATTTGACACAACTTCGTGAACACAGTTAACATGTCTTTATCGGACTTTAATTTTATGTCACGCCTGATAGTTTTGTATTTATCCCACTGGGATTCTGTTACATTCTGTTACGTTTTCTCATTAATAATCTAATTTCGCTGGTAATCCAGGGCTTCCTATTGGTAGTCTCAATAAATTTGCAAGGAACTTTATCTTCCACAACATCCTTAAGTGTGTTCTTCCATGTGTCCCAGGTCTTCTGTACGTCGCTTATATTCATGAGATCTCCTTGTCTTTCCTGCAGGGTCTTCCTCAAATCCTCAAAATTGGTTTTGTAATATAGATAGATTTTTCTGTTTTTCTCTTGTCACACTTCTAGGAGCGCAATGCACAGCCCGTATAATGGCGTCATGATCGCTTACTCCTGGGATTACATGGACATCAGTAATATTTCCAGGACATGATGTGAGTAGGAGATCAAGTACGTTTTTACTTGTCAGAAACCCTGGTTGGCTCATTAACATGCTGGAATAGATTAAATTGCTCTATAATGGACACAAATTTTTGAATAAGTTCGTTGTTACTGAACTCCACGGGGTAACCTTCATCCTATCGAATTTGAGGCATGTTAAAATCACCATTTAGAATTTAGCAGTCTTTGGTTGCAGTCACGCTGTCATGCATTAGCCGGTTGCAATCATGTCTGGATTAAAACACTCGGTTTAAAACCACCGAAGAGTGTCATTTACACAACACAACAGGCCTGTCATATAAAGCAACCACACCATTTTTCTCATATTGAAAAAATGAATAGGCCAAGTGACCGTGACTAATTTGCTGATCTAGAGCTAATTGACCAGTGCAGCTTTTCAAGATGAGCTGCTTAATAATGTAGGTGACTGACAATTATATCACAAGGCCACACTCAGCCTGGTGAAAGAGGGGTCGTTTTATGATACATGGAGAACGAATTCAGTTTGCTACGTATGGAAATCGACGTGTTTACTTGGAAGTTTGTCCTGAGCTGAAGTACATGCACATGCATGTACAGTGTGGTTACCTCAATGACACCAGTAATAATGATGGTGTGTAGTGTATGGACAGTGACCAGTGGCGAAAATTTGCGTTGGAAATTGGGGGGTGGGGGATAAGGAATCGATGGGAGGCGGTCGAATTGCCGGCCATGGAAATTTGAAAAGCTGGGAAGGGGTTCCTAACACCATGTGGTACAAGAGGGGTGATGTCTGTGGTACAGATATGCGTCTGTGTTTATTACAGTACTACAGATTCTTACATCAAAACGGTTTATGGTGGTTTTTTACTGTTCCTTTTTTAGTGTTATTGAAAACATTTTGGTTGTAATTAAGTCCGAAAGTCCTTCATAATCCACCTTTTTGTTCTAACCAAGATAAAGTGTGTGTGTGTGGGGGGGGGTTATTTACTAGTCAATCCTCTGGTCAAAAAGTGTGTGGGGGGGGGCTATATACCCCAATCCCCGGGAATTTACGCCCAAAACAGTAATGACAGGAATTTCCTTTGAATGGGAGCGCGCACCATAATGTCAAAAAAGTCTTCCGGGTTTCTGGTCAGCGCGCTCGTTTGTCTGGGAACCAGACAAACGAGGTGGTCTTGTGTCCTTTGTACATTTACTAGCTGGAAACGCTTGTAAAAAGTAAATAGTGAGGGGCCAGTCTATTTCAGTGTTGGTAGCGGAGGTACATGTGTACAAGAACAGGTGCATGCATCATTTCTAGGAAAAGCGGGGGCCAAAAACAACAACAACAACAACACTCACGTCGCTGCACAACTTTTGAAGCCAGCCCCTGACAAGAAATCAGAGACTTTCTTTCGGCCTAACAAAAGATTAAGTATTTTGACTGGCTACGTGCACGACCTCAGTGTAGACGAATCAGGTGACCATGGTAACGCTTACCATTTGCAATAGCCTGCGCTAATAGTGAATGAAGCCACTTTTCCGTGACAGTACGAAACCCAACACATTCCGCTATTGAGCGGGCAACGGGAATGAAACGTCCTGAATTAGCCGATATGTTTTGCGGTCTTCCGGTCTGAAAATTTCGGCCGCCCATGGCAATCAGTGTTTGTAAATAAAATAAAGGTTCATCATCGGAAAGCGGGGACGAGGTGGGCTCGTCAGTCGGTGCTGTTCGGGGCAGACAGTAACAATGAAAAGGCGGCGGTCTTCATGCCAACACCAATAAGCCACTTGGGAGTTTAATTTGAATAAAATCTGGTACACTGTGTTATCTGATTGCACAGAAACGTAACAATTTGAATTCCGCAGACCAAAGACACTGTTGCTATAGCGACCACCATCTCTGGAATGGACCGGTTCCTTTGTGCCGTTCTTATATACCCAGCAAGAAATGAGACTGAGGGGTATCCCCCCAACATGTCCAATCCCTATACACATTCCAGACTATTGTTACTTAACACATCCCCCCCAAGATGTCTGAAAGGAATTCCCCAGATTCCTGCGAGACAATGACCAACACAAAGCAGGGGGGGTTCTCTCCGTCTCATACCTTGCTGCATATGTATACGTTCTTATCATTGAGAACAGTGTATTGTTGCAAGGCGTCTCATATGTAACTAAGCAAAAGCTTGTCCCGAATCACGAGGTATATAGCAACAGTATGGAGAATTCAAGCTGTTATGTTCACGAGAATTTAAAGAACTCAGTGTACCAGATTTTACTCAAATTTAACTTGCAAATGGCTTATTCTGACGTTAGTAAAAATCACTTTGCAAGAATAAAAGCGCTGGAGAAAAGAAACGCACTGTGGGAAAAAGAGAGTGCATATTTCTACCCGTCTTTTGGATATGGCGCCATTGGTAGATGGCCGATACAGCGGATTAGCTGTTCCGTTGGACGAGTTTTGCCGTTTGTGATAACTGTTTTCAGTAGAGTCGTACAAAGGGAATACTATACAGATTATAGCTTATCTAACGAAGAAAACGTTTTAGATAAATCAAGAATATTTAAAATTTACTAAATCGGGATGTTTGCACTGTGCAAAGATTGAAGGACAAAGATTGCCTTTTCCGAAAGAACGAAGTGTTTCGAGAAAACGAATGAGAATTCTTTAAATAGTTAATAATACGGGAAGCAAAACGAAAACCAGACACTTATGTGAAGGAAAAAGACGAAAAAGTGGAGATTCTTTTATTCGAATGGGCTCCAACGCTTTCAATCAAAGAATCTCCACTTTTTTGTCGTTTCTCCTTCTCAAACCACGTGCGCCACTATTATTGTCCATATTGTACAAAAGATTAAAAAGGCTTTACTGATGCTTTGAGATGAATCCGTCGTTTGTCCAGCGTTGGCTAGCTATGACATTTGCACATGCATAAAAGCTTCATTCCTATCCCAAGCCATGGAGTAACTCCTCGGCCGGGTGCACAACTANGTATAGGAAGCGGAGGTACATATATACAAGAACATGTGCATGCATCATTTTTAGGAAAAAAAGCGGGGGCCAAAAAAACCCCAACAACAACAAAACCCACGTCGCTGCACCACTTTTGAAGCCAGCCTCTGACAAGAAACCAGAGACTTTCTTTCGGCTCAACAGAAGATTAAGTAGTTTGACTGGCTACGTGCACGACCTCAGTGTAGACGAATCAGGTGACCATGGCAACGCTTACCAATGGCCCGCGTTAATAGCAAATGAAGCCACTTTTCCGTGACAGTACGAAACCCAACACATTCCGCTATTAAGGGGGCCACGGGGATGAAATGTCCAGAATTAGCTGATGTGTTTTGCGGTCTTGCGGTCTGAAAATTTCGGCCGCCCATGGTAATCAATGTTTGTAAATAAAATAAAGTTTCATCATCGGAAAGCGGAGACGAGGTGGGTTTGTCAGTCGTAACCATCTTTATTTGGGGCAGTGCTGTTCGGGGCAGACAGTAACAATGAAAAGGCGGTGGTGTTCATGCAAACACCAATGAGCCACTTGCGAGTTAAATTTGAATAAAATCTGGTACACTGTGTTATCTGATTGCACAGAAACGTAACAATTTGAATTCCGCAGACTAAAGACACTGTTGCTACAACGACCACCATCTCTCGAATGGACTGGTTCCTTTGTGCCGTTCTTATCCATTGAGAATTGTGTATTGTTGCAAGGCGTCTCTTATGTAACTAAGCAAAAGCTTGCTCCGAATCACGAGGTATATAGCAACAGTATGGAGAATTCAAGCTGTTATGTTCAAGAGAATTTAAAGAACTCAGTGTACAAGATTTTAATCAAATTTAACTCGCAAATGGCTTATTCTGACGTTAGTAAAGATCACTTTGCAAGAATAAAAGCGCTGGAGAAAAGAAAGGCACTGTGGGAAAAAGAGAGTGCATATTCCTACCCGTCTTTTGGATATGGCGCCATTGGTAGATGGCCGATACAGCGGGAAGAATACCGTACAGATTATAGCTCATCTAACGAAGAAAACGTTTTAGATAAATCAAGAAGATTTAAAATTTACTAAATCGTGATGTTTACACAGTGCAAAGATTGAAGGACAAAAATTGCTTTTTCCGAAAGATAAAAGTGTTTCGAGAAAAGCGAATGAGAATTCTATAAAACGAAAACCAGACACTTATGTGAAGGAAAACCGACGAAAAAGTGGAGATTCTTTTATTCGAATGGGCTCCGACGCTTTGAATCAAAGAATCTCCACTTTTTTGTCGTTTCTCCTCAAACCACGTCCTCCACTATCATCGTCCATATTGTACAAAAGAACAAAAAGGCTTTACTGATGCTTTGAGATCAATCCGTCGTTTGTGCAGCATTGGCTAGCTATGACATTTGCATATACATAAAAGCTTCATTCCTGTCCCAAGCCATTGAGAAACTCCTCGGCTGGGTGCACAACTCTTTTCATTCACAAGCACAGTACATGATTCCCACGAAGTTACACGCAGAAATGCAATCGACACCATCAATGTATCGCACGGCACACACACTGTCTTACGGTCCATATGGATTTCTATCTTTATGTTAGTTGCGGAATATGCTAAATTGAAGTTAGCAAAGGCTATCGATATGACTGTACGGACCTGGGAACCTTTTCACATATATGTATGTATATATTGATTTGCCATTTTTTATAATAATGATTTTATGTTTTTCTGTTTCTCGTGTTTTAATTAATTGTTATTGATCTTGGTTTTCCTTTTAACTACACGTGTTGCCATTTTTATTGGGGGGGGGTTCGTTTTTGTTCTGTGAGGCATATCAATAGTTTTTTGTTGCTCTTTTTAATGCTCTTTTGTATTAATTTTTCAAGTCTTGCTCATGTGATTTTTATCAGTGAGGTTTTTACTTTTTTCTGCTGTTCTGTGATACATGCCCATAGTTTATATTTGACATTTTCATGCTCTTAGTTTTTCTTTTGGCAATTGCAACGCTGGTTGATTGATTGTAAAGCGCTTGTGAGCATTGATTTTAAATTGATAAGGCGCTGTATTATAAATCGACATTATTAATATTATTATTATTACTTTACACCACCAACAAGCAAGTTTCTTGAGTGTCTGATATGAGAACCACTGTATACTGCCTCTTCAAATGAAGATTAAGTTTACAACCTTGGAAGGACATGCTTACTCTTAGAAATCCCTCATTCACCAAAGGGAGTTCTTTCGTTTGGAAAATACATGCATTTGGAATATTATCTCGTTCATCTGGGAAGTATCATACGTAAGTTTCTGAAAAAATATTGCATCCTGACTCCACTTTTCTCATCATACATCATCTCAATAAAAGTCAGTCATTACAGAAATGCTGGAAAGACAAGAATTCTGGACCAAGAAACATTTACCGAGGTTGCTGGGAAATACTTAGAAAAATCTCTTCACTCCCCATAGACTTTGTACACAACTGCTGAAGTGGAGTCGGGATGCAACACTTTTTCCAAGTTTCTAAACGATTAATCTGTTTTGCAAAATTGTACATGAATTGTGATTGTTGAGATTGTATTTAAAAATTGTTTAATAACGGAGAAGGAGTTAAAACTGAGGTTTTACCGAAAGTAAAGTGGCTACATGTGAAATTAAAAATAAAAACACAAAGAAAAATGATTAAAATAAAAAATTATACGTAACTATAAGAATATAAATCTAAATTAAAATAAAAAACATGAAATAAAACTTCAATGGAAGGATGTGTAAAAATGAAATTAAAATGGGAAGGGGTACCTGAAAATGAGGGAGAAACATTAAAAACATATTATATGCAATGTAAGGAGCGGTTCGCTTTAATTGAACACCCTTAATCTTAACAGAAAATGTTACCACGTCACATCTAAAAATTTGAGTGTTAACCGCATTGAACGTCTAAAACAATTTGCCTTTTTCTACAATTTTTTAGGGAGTTTCTCACTGTGTTTGACGTTGTAATTTAATGTCACAAGTGCTTTTGTGTTTTTATCAAGTCAAGTTTGATATATCAGTTTTTGAAGAATTTTTAAAACCGTACATTCTTTTTAACAATGTACAGTTATCTATACATTGACACTTTACGGAATAGGGTGATATCACAAGAGTGGTTTAAAAGCCACGAAGTCAAGTTGTGAGGCCAATTCTTTTTAATCAAGGATGGGGGTTGTTGTAAGACATAAAAATCGAATCTTTAAATGTAATCCTTGATGCCCTTTCAGTGAGTCAGGCTCCATTATACGCTTTTCACAAGCCTAAAGGGAATGGGTATTGTCATATACCCCCAATTCGCCATCTATTCTTCCCTGATGTTTGAATCAATTTTGGCTCCTTTTGGAGGAGGCATGACCACGGACTCGCCTGTCGACACGGGCAAGTCTTTGGAGAATGCGGGCAACTCAGAAACTCATTTTGGAGAATATTTTATTCATAGATAAAATTAACTGAAGGAACAAGAATCTGAGTCTTCAACTTCGCTTCTTTTGTGCTCTCCAATGTCGAAATTGTCCTCAACCAGAGTGTTCCGATCTTATGCGACGTGAAAGCGTCCCAACTTCAATTTTGCATCACATTTTTACAATAGGGGCCTAACAGCGCTCACTTGTGTACTATTCCTGGTATTTCGTCAAATAATTAGAAAGCTTGATACTCTGTTTCCGACGATAATAATATTGTTTGCCAGCATTAGTGCTTTAACTCTCAATACAAGTGTTACTTTTTTTCAGGAAAACCTGTAAAAACAGGCTGTTGTTAAAACCGAATATTATCGTGTTCTGATTGTGTCTGTATCCATTTTACGGGCATTTATCGAAAGGGATTTCCTTCACCGTCACCTCACAAAAGTTAAGTATGGTAACAACTGGTATATCAACACTGACGTAGCGAGCTCTCAGTGGTGGGTCACAATGAATCTCGATAAGGCCTCCACGTGGCGCTGCTTGCTCTGCTGTCACCGGTGAGCCACACGTCGGGTTGAGAGTGATGTTGGTACTCGGCCCGGCTCGCACTACAGCGTGAGTGGTGCGTTCACCTACCGACAAGGACAATGGAAAAAATCATTCATAAAAAGTGACTTTTCAAGGAAAACTGCTTGGAAGGTTACTAATTCACCGCTGTTTGATTTCATGTCTCATAATCACTACCTTCTCGAAAACTGAATAGTCCGTTTGATGCCAAATGACAGAATAAATAAAAATCACGAGTGAAATCAATGGGCATTACTGAAATGTCTTATTTTAGTCATTTGCCACAGAAGATAACTTCACTTAAAGGAATTTTCACACATTGTTATATTTTCTCCCTTTTACTTTTCGACCTCAAACTAACTTTTGATCAACACTGAAATATTAACCCTAACAGTCCTGAATCCTCTAATTTTAATATGATTTTGCACACACCCTAGGGAGTTAGGGTTAATCTTTGAAGTTATACTTCAAGTTACCATTTCCATGGCTTTGTTACTGATGTTTATTTGCTTTAAACAGAGACCTCTGAAAATTGGATTGAAGAGATAGATTGATCCAAAATCTGTTTCTTGCTCTAGGATGGAATGAACGGTGTTTATGTTAATGAGAACATTTAATACTTTTTCTTAACATTTGTTTACAATCCCTCTTCGATTGTCCTTCCATCCTCTACATGACTTCCTTAATCAGACCTATTAAACATCTTTATAGGGATGGGTCAAGGTTACAGCTTGTTCTAATTGAACGGTGCGTGAGTGTATCTTTATTAAGGGGGGAGGACTCACTGCAGCAGTAGCCACGGTTGAGGATGTTAACTTGTGTGATGCAGTGCTCTCCTTCAAGATCAACTCTCCACCAAGGGTCATATTCTGCTGTAGCATCTACCATCATAACGATAATGTAGACAATATGAAATAAGTGCTCAACATGTCAGATTTGCCTATAGCCTTAATTAACGTAATGCATGTAAAAACCGAACGAACAAAATCGAACAAGCCTTTGGTGATATTGTGTACGTGAAAATACTTTGTTAATGAAACATTCTGTGTAGACCCTGTATCAAAGTAATAGGGAAATCACCTTTTTATTATATTGACCAGTGTTGATATTCAGACACTCACGGGGAGTACACAAAAACGACGACGATCCTGAAATCATTTGGATTTTCAGTTCTGAGACTTGAAATAATGCTGGAATTTAATTGGTAAAACATCGACTGAAGAACACTGTAATTGGACTCATAGTTCATTCCGCCTGCCAATTACCTAAAGCACCGCGGTCCGAATGATAGGTTCTTACTCTGGCCATATTCGTAAAAACAGCATTCCAAATCATCTCCCGATACAGACGCCCAGATATGTCAACGAATGTGCTCCCTTTTATGTCCCATGTGGCGCTATAATTCGTTTTACGTGGTAAGAAAGTTTAATTGAACGATCTTTCGGTGAAGTGTTAACTCAGTTACTCTTGAACTCAAGATATGCTAAAATGCTAAGCTCAATTTGTTGTTAATTGAATGAATTAATTTCTAATCTGGATATTTCGAAAAACAAATATGGAATAATGAAACTGAATACTAAAGAACCACCATTTCCATCTTGACAACAATAGGTTGCATATGCGTACGCCTTGAAACGAATTTGAAAGAATTTTGGATGAACGAGTGAGAGCTTCATATCTTAAGGCATTGTAACGGAACAAGGGGCTACGTTACCAGGGCCGCCGGTATGTGCACAGTTCCCATTTCTTTGTGTATCGACATCACCGTCGACAGCTCTAGCCGACGTCCTAGTGCGGTATGTTGAACTTTGCTCAGTTGGCTTACCAATAATGGAGAACTCCACTGGGTTTGAAAAAAAAATCACCGTATAGTTTTTTATAATGGGAGACTTTGAGACAATGCATGTGACAGCAGATATACCAGTCCGTTTTCTTCGCTTGTTGCCCAACGTCCCAACAGGGTGCTGGGAAGGACTGATGGCCTTGTGCAGATTTTAGTGAAGGAAATACGTCACTTGCGGTCACAGCTAACCACACGCAGGGCATTGTGGGTGACTTTCTGCCAGGCGCGCGAGCTCGTTCAATGCGTTAAGAAGAGGTGGTTATCACTTCGGAAATTTTTTTCTTTTTCTTCCTCATTGCTGAAAATATTATCACTACACTTTATTCGTTCATCCAAAATTGATCAAGATGACCAATTTTAAATATACTGCCAAAAGACACGTAACCAGGAAGTTAGTGAGAAGATAAATTACTACACTGTGATGGCTCCAATGCCATGTTTTCATCATATACCGACCGTTTGCCCGTGCAAAAGCATTGCCATTGACAACCATAAAATGTAAATAACGCTTCGCTAGCAGGGAGTGGCAACCTAACAGGTCAATACAATGTAGCCAATCACAGTGCAAAGCCATCAGCCCTTCCCAGCGCTGGCAACGAGTTAAGTTTTTTCACACTACTGTGCGTGCTCAAAAATATGCTCAGAACAACGCGCGCATGCCAAGAACTATTAAAAGGAACGGTACGTTTGCTGCCACCCAGCGTTTCAAAGTATTCTATTTATTCATCTACTTGAGATTTGCAGTCAGCTTACTCTGAATCAAAGTCTCCAACCCCACCATTTAACCACTTTTCGTACCCTGAGAGGTTTTTGAGGCCAGAAGCTGAGCACCGATTGAGATTATCAGCAGCCATTTGAAAAAAAAGTTAAGGGCCAGTGTCATGGTACCTGCCTGAAACTGTCAATAGAAAGTGGCCTTGCCCAATTGGGCACAAATGTACCGTTTCGGGTCTAATCTCAGACTACGTCCCACCCAAAACATTTGTCCGGAAAACAAGGGAGCCAAAAGTATCGATTCCTGCTTTTGCATCGATGAATTCGATCCGCCGTTTGGTGTTGACAATCCATGCAAGGCTATTCCCATGAGCCTTAATTGTCGCTTAACCTTTAGGCTTCTTGCGGTTTTATTGTTAACACTTCGTCTGGGTGCCACTGAAATATTACAACTTTTATTCTGTTCATCAATGCGCATCTGGTTCAGTCACAGGAAACATTTAAGAGTCAAACACATAAAGTCGGCCCTAGTACAATGCCTCATAAATCCAAATGGAGTCACACATGCATGTCAGTGTTACAGCTACGGATAGCGCAAAGCAGTTGTTTCACTCTATGGAACCGAGGATTATTGACCCACATACGTGAGAGTTTGGCAAGCGGCACGAGTTGGAACACGGGCATTTCAGTGATCATTCCAATGCTTATCGATCACTGATCTTGACGTCATCTTGTTGTTTGGAAATACTCCACGACTACATGATGTCGTTTGGAAAATACGGAACATTTAATTCCATATAAATGCTGATCGGTTATTTTCTTGCGATCGATTCCACTAATTTAGTTATATACCCGTTTCATCAAACTATTCACAGACTGTCCTTTGCTTAGGAGGCATGGTAAACAATGAAAATTTGTGATAAAAATAAGAGGAAATGGTGATTCGAATTAGACATGGGCATATGTAACTCGACCCGAAAAGTTGAGATAAAAAAAAGAAAAATAAAAGGAAAGAGAAAAGGTGAAATTCGGTATCATTACAAAGATAATTTGCAAAGTAAAAAATGCCTTGACAAACTATATTAACTAAATAGAACAATAAATGAATTATTGAAATATAAGAGAACCCCAAAAAAATAAAAACTTAGTATTTTTAACAATTTATGATAAACGAAGGTTGAAATCGCCATCGAAAACTAAAAACGAGAGGAGGGAGAGCGGCAAATGGAAAGATAAAGATGAACACAAATGAATTCGTGTGACAAAAATTTACAAATTTATCAAATTGCTATAAGACATTGTTAAAATAGTACGCTGCATACAATCTTCTTTCTACTACTCTACTACTTTTTCTGTTTTTGATGGATTTACCTCTCAAAAGTGGTTTTACGGAGTGGTATTGCTGTAGCTTCAGTGGATGAAGGAATTTTCCCTCATTTCCCTCGATGTTTTCATCTCGAACAACACAACATGTCAATTATTTGAATTATTAGCATCATGTCAAATTATGCTGCAAAATACCCCATGTCACGAAGTGAGGTTAATTTGTTCAAGAGAAATAACTCTTGAGTCTATTTACGCATGGGAGCCAAACATAAGATAACTTGAGTGTGCGTTGATAGAAACAAATTGTTGGTTTTATTTGGCCAGTGTTTCCATGTAGTATTTTTGTTTTAATTAGATAGGTTCGCGGGATGAATTGACAAACCCCATTGGATAGCTCGACTCTTGCTTGAGTAAGTCCTTTCTTATGAGGTCACCAGGGTCACACAACAAAAGGATTGAGGGTGCCCCAGGTAGAAATTTGGCGGGGTTTTAAAAATTTTCGGGGGTAAAGGGGACTTGCGTCGGGGAGTCCGAGGAGAGGGCACGTCTTGCCAGCCTCGATGATTTTGCTGTGAGTTTGAAACTGCGAGAATCCAGCCAGAAGCGCTGAAGAACTTGATGATTGGAAGCTAGTTTATCGGTGCAGTTAAGTTCCGTTAATGATGGGAAGCTAGTGTATCGGTGAAGATAAGTTCCGACCGATACGCAAGGCAGAAAAAAAACTACTCGAGCGCAAGATTTTCCAAGAACCAGGTGTCTACGCAACCTGGTTCTACTGTGGGTATTGGACTAGCAGTCCGATCCAAGGGCTGGCCAGAAACTTGAGGAACAACTCAAGACTCGGGGTCAAGTCAAGACCGCTGTACGACGAGGGGGTCAGGCCGGCGCCCCGAAGGCTACTCTGCAGTGAGACAGCCCGAGAGTTCCTGGCCAAAACGTGAAACAGTCATCACTGCAGTGACAGAACGGATCCTTTAGAATTTTTACGTTAAATTTAAGTGGTGCACCTACTGTGTTGAAAACCTCAAAAGTCCTGGGCGTATTTCATATCGTGTGAGATCAACAAAACTATAAATATATATTTTTTTAAAACAATAATAAATTTGTAAATTAGTCTCCATAAAATAGAAGATCTTGTATCCGGTGTCTTATTTTGCTGGAGAGTGCAAATAACTGCTGAAGGTTATGTCCTCGGGGTAACCCAGGATATGACACCCCAGCTTGTACATTATACTTAAAAAGACTAAACATCTACTTCTCAAATTAGAACGCTGTGCAAAATAAGTGGTTTGCACAGTTTGTAACTGTAGATTCGTTACGAATATATAGTAAAAGTGCATATTCTTAAAAAAGATAATCTACACTTCACTGAAAAAGCGACGTCAGAAGAGTAGTTTAACTGTATCAAGCTTACTGTGGGGCATCTATTACAAGGTAGATGTGGCCTTATGCGAGCAAAGGGATTTCTTTGGTTTGGTACGAGCAGCCTTTATCCCTTGGTGTAAAAATAATTATGTACGGTCCAGTGAAATGAAAAAAACGCTCTTTTTCGTTGGACACAGCCAATAAATTGGGCACATCACAGCACGAAGCCCCTTGTCAGGCGTCAGCCAGCAGACCACCAGGTTGCAGTAAATGTAACTGCCTGAAGATTGGTATAATACCAACGATAATGCCACCTCTTCTTTTTAAGAATAAGTTGTAAAAAACACCCATGTACATCCACCCTACGTGATATTTTTAAGGATTGAAATTTTACCAAAAGGGTAATTATTCTTTTCTTTTAGAAAGTAGAATGCAGTAGCTTGGTCAACGATGGTTCCAAATGGGACAACAGGAGCCATGACCCCACAACAAGATATTCAGGTTATTTTGAAATAAAATGAGAAAAAATGATTTTTTAATCTTTTTTATTTCACTTATTTCCTCAAAAGGGCCTTAAAAGGTTCCGTACGAAATTTCCAAAGCCCCCTCCCCAAATGTCCCTTTTATATTTTGCTTCTTGATCTACCCTTGATGAGCACGATAGGATTAGTTAAGAAAGACACTTATCGGCACTCGGGTCATGGTCATACTATCCTGTGACGACATTTTTGTAGTGGGAGACGTAGGACACGCCAGCACTTCACAACCCACACTAGTCGCATGACGAACATGAAAATTATAGGTCTACGGTATTGACACTGGCCCTAGAAGACGGTCATGCGGCACTAAACGTGCATCAAGCAGTAAATATGTAGGTAGGCCTACGTATTTTAATCTCAAATCTCCATCCCTCTTACCTCCGCAGTCGAACATGTCAGCGATCTCTCGCCGATCATCTGTAAACATTGGCTTGCTGACGTAAAACGGGTCATGGAGTCCACTCGTCTGAGGGCTTATCATACCGCCGGACGAGATTCTCGTGCATGAGCAGCGGTCTCCGCGCCTATTCAGCGGCGTCGCCCAGTGGAGCTCGCCCGCTTGAGACGGGTCTGGTACTTGGCCCAGGTAACATTCGTTAGCTGTCACCTCCGACCACCCCAAATACACTTTTAAAAGGGGGAAAACAGGTAACAAATGTGTCTGTTGTTTTCTCCTTATGTTATATTTCCATATTGATTGTCCGAAGTTGTGCTCCAAGTGAAGCAAACAGTTTGGCAATTATCTAAACCTTCCGTCTGTCTGGTTGCTCGGCAACGTATATCGTGCAGTGTGTTATAAAGTGTGCATTCACACTAAAGCACTGTCGATATTCGAACCTTTGATATACTACAGTGTACAGCAAATTTAAGTATTATTTTTAATACTTTGGGAATAGAAATGCTCAGAAAAGAGTATGATGGTAGCAGCAGTGATCTTTACGTAGTCTGGAACGGAAGCCGTTTGTGCATTATCCGGGCATGTCATTTCATGGCAATTTTTATTGGTCTCAAATCGTGGCCCGTAGACCAAATTCTAAGAGACAGTTACATGTACACAAAAATAACAAATGGAAAAATGATCGAATTTACATACCTAAAAGTACTGTATAAAACATTACTTTAAAAAAAGAAGAATACAAAAATGTTCGACAAATCTAACAACCAAGGAAAGGTAGGCCTATACTGCAACCACGGGGAACAGTATGGCAGAATGGTTTTCAAAATCATTCCGCTAACAATGGTTGAATAAAAGTGAATGCAAATAAAGAAAAGCAAACCCTTCGCACAAAACCTTACCGTAGAGGTAAATGACAAAGGTCAACATCTGATTCCAAAACCCGCGGTCCAAAACAGGATTGTCTTCAAACGAGCAGCGGCAATTTGGTGACAGCGAATTGAAGAAACTGCAGACGTTCGGGAGAGATGCTTCTGACTTTTCACGTTAGACCTGGAGAACTGCACGCTGTGTTTAACGTGATGGTAGTTGCGGTGTTCACATTTGGGTACAAAAAGGCCACAGTGAGCTTATGCACGCGCCGATGCTGATCGAGGCCCGTGTAATTTTCTAGCACACAGGCTAAAAGGTTATTGATGTAGCGTAAATTGACCTTCATTTCTCTGCTCATATTGGATATGAGCTAAGACACCCCAGTCTTCTGGTGAACTTTAATTCGACCTGGAAGCGCATGCGTTTGCAGAAAATTTGAATCTATAACGTCACCTTGGTATTATCGACTGAAGCAGGTGTTCTCAATGATTAATGTCTGCAAGCGGATCATGCTGGGTATATTATGGGTTTTCCCGGCCGAATTCATCATCTTCGTAAACGAATTGGCGACAGTTTCATTTAAATTAGCACGAAATGAAATGACGATCTGGATCACCATTCAAAGAGCACACGATTGTTCAATCTTGCTATTGAAAAAGTGATGGGTCAGCGTTCAGTTTGGAAAAATAGGCAGAAAGTATTCGAATTCGCGCGGACACTCCCGCGGTATGTGTTTTTGGCGTTCAATTTCGTGAATTTGGCAAGCATTTGTAAGATTCGTGCAGATTCGTAATAAACAGTTAATATCATCGGGTGCCCGGCAGAAGGGCCTAAGCGCTTACGCCCTTCTGCCGGGCACACGACGATATATTGAATTTTCTAACCTGTTACGTATCAATAGGGCCTACGTGTAAAATACACACTTTAAGTGTATTTTATACACTATTGACAGACACTCATAGAAATATAATTTTCCTGAAGCTACAAAGGCGAAGATAGAAATTGAGCAATGATGTGATCACGCTGCTGTCTTAATCAGCTAACCTTTGCTCGATGGTTAGTACTTTTATTATTAAAACCAAAGTCCGGCCTTAACGCATGAATTACTCGAAGGCTTTGTTTGGGGCTGACTTTCTGTTGCCGTGGATGGTAATGAACAGCAATTTCGCGCGCCATCAGCAGAATAATTAACTAACGACAGAATAATCCAGGTCGAAGAACCGTGTTAGCTGTTTTGCTACTTGTGTCGTCGTTGTCCTCGTTTTGTGTTCAGCAACTTGCACCCCTGCACCTTTCAGGTATTTATGATGTGAAATAGCCTTGTTGTTTAATTCATTTTCATCGTAACATATTTTTATCGACTTACCTTGTCCTAACTGCGGTAATCTTTAAAAAACTATACAAATTCCCTCTCCTTTGTCGATTTGTATGATTTGTATTTGTTTGATTTTTTTAACCAAATCCTCTTAGTGAACCACATATAACCTCAAATTAACAGCGTTGAAGAGTGTTTGAAACATGATGATTTCGAACCTTTCACACCCAGCACTTGAGCTCTTGACACTTTCTCTGTAGTAATTAAAAACTACGTCTTTCCAATTTCTTAAGTTAACCCTTTTTGGGTTTTTTTAGGGGTTCCTTTCTTTTCTTTCCTTATTTTTCTAGCGATCTCTTCTATCTCAATATCAATACATACGATACCAGAGCGTCACAACCAAGTTGGTGTGATGCCAACGGGACTCGCCATCTTGCCGCAGCGAGGTATTTCATTTCACTTCCACTTCTTTTCTTCCTTAGAGGTTTTGTACGATTCAGAGCTTTAACAAATGGTACCTGTATACTATTCGATTATCCCACATGAGTAATTGCTCCTTAATTCACGCGAGTATTGATCATCTTGTTCGTTTAAATCAGACCTGTGACATAATATGCCGCTTATCTTCATAACGCTTTTTAGTAAGTTGCCTCAAGGTCAGCGTTTACAAAGAAAGCAGTTATGTCACGCGATATCTTATGTTTATGCACAAGCAGAAAGCCGTTCGGAACTATGTTTATGACATTCCACAATGGCAAGGACGTAGTATAGGCAGACCATATTTCATACCCAACGGGAACGTTGATTGGCCAGAACGAGCAGTCTCAGCGCAGTATTTTTGGCAAATCGCTCTGGTTCCTAAACGCAGTAGTTAATGGTGTGATACCCAAGTGGTTTATCCGCTCCGAATGTAAACAAGCAGAAAACGTGCTGTACATGTATGGGTATTTCTTTCACAAAAGCCCCAAATTGCGGGCCTAATTTGGATAGAGGCGGGCGGTTACATTCAGAAATGAGCGCTTAGTTTTACTGCTGTTTTGGGGGTATCTTCCTTGAAAGGCGATTAAAAAACTATTTTCATGGCTAACCCCATGAAATTGAAACGAAAAGTAATATTCTGGCCATAATCTTGAATTTCCATTAAAAAACCTAGGCCAACCTCTTCACCGTAGTCAACAGGCGGTGCTATTTCGGTCCAATGTTACACTGTTTTCTATTGGCGCATATTTGATGTAGTGCAACCCTAGGAAAAACATTACGCGGACGGGAACAAGTTTGTTTTGTTGGTAGCAAAGCGACTATCGTTTGTAAACTAGCGAAGTGCAATAGACCTAAAATATAATGACGTTTTGCAATATTTACCACAGTGCATTGTGGGTCAAAAGTGGGGATTTAAATCGAAGATGGCGGACCCGATCGTCAGTTATGCGGGCCTTCGCGCGACTTCAGACAGATCAGATTTGCGGTCTCGTGGAAACTTGAAACAATGCAGCTCAGGCGTTCGTTGTGTGCTTGATACACACAATGGCATACAACAGTTAACACAAACCATGTTGGAAATACATGTGTAGGCTTTCTCAAGAGATTTTTGACAATTTTCTTTGCACATGATGATCTAGCAATAGTGCGCGTACATGTCGGCCCCACCT